ATGCAAAAACACATTTTTCTTTCAATAGTTTTTCTTGTTTAAAATGTCTTTTATTAAAAAATAATAACGTTATTTGAATTAACGCTCTAAAGAATACTTTATCCGATATTAAATTAATGATTTATTCTTAACTTTGAATTTAAAATATATTAACCTACTGCTCAAACTAAAAATTGCTTTATATGGATTATTTAACGGCAAGAAAAATCAAAATTTTCAATAGACAAAATTCATCAGTAAATATTATCGATGAATTTGAAAATTTCGATCGGTAATCCGTCGATAAGTAAGACATATTTTTATTATTTATTAAATTATCTACATGATATTTAATTAAGTAAGAGAATTGTCACTGACAAAATTCGAACATAATACTTTAGAGTTTAAAATTGATACTTCAACCACTTGGATTACTAATATTTTTTAATAATAATTTATAAATAAATTATATTTATATACAAATAAATGTATATCCGCGTAAATATATAAATATAAAATATATAAATACAAATATATTTATATATTTTGATATATTTATATAGTTATATATTTATATGTTGAATGTGAAGACGCGCTCGACGGTGAAAGTGTGTCGTGTTTATTAGAATATATTTAAAATTAAGTAATTATTATATAATTTTAAATATTTAATTTTTTTAATTAATATTAATTTTTAAAAATATAATTCAAATCCGTCGGTAAATAAATAAATAAATAATTACCAGATAAATTCATCAATAATTATTTGTTCATTTATTGATGAATTTATTGACCGATATATCTGTCGGTAATTATTTATTTATTTATCGATAGATTTAACTACAGATAAATCCGTCTGTAATTAGTTATTTATTTACTGACGAATATATTCATCAATAAGATCAAATTCCATTACAACTTCAAATTTGTCGATAATTTTTATGGATAATCATTTATTTTCTTACGGTTCTATATCCATTGATAAATAAAAAATTTCTCATACTGTTTAACAATAGACAATTTAATTGGAGTGTATATTATTAAATGTTATATGATCTTCTTGTTTAATCCATTACTTCCATAATAGTTTAAAATTTTTAAACCACTTTCGAATGTGTGAAATTCATAATCCTACCAAAACATATCTAGCATGCATGATCAATTCAGAAATTGGTGCTGTTGTGACAGTGATTAGCACCTTTTATGTTTTAGTGAAAACTCAAATTTACGTGGTGGAGCCACAGAGAACAAACCCAAGTTCTCTCTATAGTGTTGACCACACGTTGATAACAGTGGCAAAACTATAAAATCATGTCAGATGAAGCAACAACGCAGAAGCTACTTCTGATAGCTTCTGCTTTGATGCAGATGAATTAGCCTCCGTTTAGCCGACAGGAAAGAAATCGAAAAGAAAGGATAAAAAAGCGAAGTTATTTGGATGAAAAGAAATAGGTGAGAAACGAAGCTTTATGGTTTGAAGGTGAAGCAAAGATGCAGTACTAGAATTGAAAGATGTTGGTTGAAGGTGAAGGACAAGAAGATGTAAAAGATTATTCAGCCTTTTGATTCAAGAAAAATGTACTATCTGTTTTACCTGTTCAACATCAGACACATGACTCATATAATCTTCTATTACATTTTATCGAGGTAAGGGCCCAAACATTAATTTTGGTGGTTTTATTATGTTCAATTTTTCATTTAGACAAATTAATTTTATGCTACTCTCTTATTTATGTAACATAATAAATATTTATAAATTCAATTTAAAAATGGCTTCCAAATAGTTAGATTACGTGTTTTTTAGTAACAAAATTTTCACCCTCTCCGAATCCAGATAATATATATAGTTAAATGAACTGTGAATTGAAAAAATGGTTTGGTATTAAATTAATAAAATAACTCCATGATAGCGATTATAGATTGGAATAAAACAGACTTTACTCATTAATTTTCTGACTAATATTGAGGGTTTCGTACTGCTCTTAATACTTCTTGTATTGGATACGCTTCATTGATATATATATATATATATATATATATATATATATATATATATATATATATATATATATATATATATATATTTAAACATGTTTTAGAAGGTTATTACACAAAATGTTTGGTTCATTACACTTTTGGTCTATTTATTTTAAACCGTGAGCAATTTTATTTAAAAGATTTTATAATTGATTCTATTTTCAAAATTAAGAATATTTTATCTTGCTGTTAATTATTTCTTCTTCCTCATCTTCTTCTTTTTCTTTTTCCTTTCAATTTCCTTCTACTTAAAACCTTCGTATCATAATTTTTCTACTCAAAATCTTCATAAATTGAAGTAATTAAAGTAGTTCTGAACTTTCTTTCACTCAACTCACCAACCATCACATCAAATTTTACGTAAAATAAATTAATTTTTTCTCTACTAAAAATATAATTTCATATCCTGTAAAAAATATTTTAATAATTTTAGCTATTTTAAAGGGGCTTACATGTGTTTGAAGAAAAGGAATAATAAAAAAAAAAAATTTAATTTAACCCACCATTAGTTTGACCGATAAAGTTGAAGGGTAGCTTATGGTGACATTGGGAGGGAAAAGCTATAAGATTGTGTGGAGTGTGTATGAGATAGCTAGGGTTTATGTTTTAGATTATCAAATCAAGTTTGAAACTTAGCTACGCTATACAATTTTTATCTCTCGTGTCTTCTTCGACAACACAAATCTTTCAAATTCAACACTTTAAACTGCAGGTACTGTACTCTATGGCCTATTAATTTGCATGTTTTTCTCTCTTTTGTTTTTCAAAGTATTTATAAAGACATAGAAAATCACTTCCGGTGAAAAGAGAGATGAAAAATCAATATAATATAATATTATTGATGAAAAATAAAAGATAATATGGAGTAACGATAATAATTAAAAATAAAAATATTAAAATGATAAATATATAAATAAATTTAATTTTCTATTTTTCTATTTCATAATTTCTAATCCAAACCTAACATTAAAAAAGACATTTCAATCAGAAGAGAAAAAGAAATCATATTTGGTAGGTAAATGTTTTTAAGATCTTAAGTAGGGACCCGCCCCGCCTTTGGCCCGTCAAAAGCGGACGGCCGGGCTGGCTCTGATATAGTCATGACGAGCTGTAGATCTTGGCTCGCCACGTCAAGGGCGGGTTGCGAGCTGGCCCGCCATAATTTAGAAAAAAATAATTTTTTTAAAATAATTTTTTTAATAAATTTAATAATAAAATTATTATTTGTTTGTTAATAATTTAATATATATATATATATATATTATTTCAATTTAATAATATAAATAAATACATTATTTTAAGAAATTATAATTTAGAACAATAATAAAATTTACATAATAATAAATAATAACAAATATATATATATATATATATATATATATATATATATATATATAAATAACGTTAACTTATAAAATTTATATTTTTTATATTGAAAAATTCAAATAACTATATCTTTTTTATTTGATAAAACTTCATATTATTCTTGGTTGAGTAATTCTTACACCTTTAATTCAAGTAATAAGGATAAAAATAATCGATACTTAAGATAAACAAGGAGAACAGGAGAGAATATTATATTTTAGGAAAGAGAATATTTTCTCGTAAGAATGAAACTTTTTAATTCTCTTTTTAAAATTTTTAACTTTATATATTATCTTTATAATTAATTTTATTACAATAAAAAATTATTTTTTTATTAATTAGGTGGGCCACGGGCTGGCCCGCTCCGTCCCGCGGGTTGACCCGACTGATTAGCGGACTTGGCGGGCGGGCTAAAGCGAGCTGGTGGCTGAAAACACCAACCTGCCCCGCCATATTATGACGGTCTGGCGGGCATGTCCGTCGGACCTATCCCGTTTTGCCATCACTAATCTTAATCGGAATGGTAAAATGTTACAGGGGCCTGTCTGATAGGTTAGGGTACTGGAGTATTATAAATGACGTATACTTGCTGTCATTTTTCAGATTCAATCCATTATTTGTGTATTACTTTGAAAATATACATTCTATACATCATATTATATGTACTTTTTTTTTTCTTTTTTATATACAAACACACATATATAAAAAAAAATGAAAATCAATGGTAACTTATTTTTCTAATTTCTTGTTCAGGAAATATTGTTCACAACACACATAAAATTCAGCCAAAAAGAAAAGTGAGATTGGCATAAGTAAAGAGTATTGGGGTTGATGGAAGCGTTGTAGCAGTAAAATTCACTATTTCTTACTGTCGTGACCGTTATCTCCTTCATCCTTGTGAGACAATTCTCATGCATCACACTCACTTAAAAGGGTCCCACCCCACTAGCCCTTGCATTAACTATTATAAAAAATATATATCTAATTTTTCGGTATATTTTGATATTCTATTTTCTCTTTACAATTATTTTTATCTTTATAGACATATTCTTCAAATTACTCATATTGTTCTAACTTTATCTTATAAATTACTTGTTTTAATTATTTAACTGTCATTAATTATCTGATTTAAAAAAAAACTAGGTAAAAACTCAAAACGTCTCTTAATAATCAGTTCAATAAAACTAGTTTAAATGTTTTAAATAAGATCTTAAATTTAAATTTTATGTAAATAAAAAAGGTTGCTGAAATGATTAGTGAAGTTTTTTAATAAAAGAATCATAAGTAAGTAGGAAATAAATAAAATTAGCAGTGGCCTCGCTAGAAAGGCCAAATAGATTCAGAACTTTTACAGCTAGTCCTTTTCTTTTGCCTCATAGACTCCAACGTTGCTTTCAATTATCTTTAGAGGGACATACATCCTTCTTCACCATCTATGTATATTCACTTCACTCCTTTGCTATTTTCATTGCTTAATTCTTCCCTATAGAACCTAGCCACTACATATTTTTTACTCTCAATCACCACCCTCAGCTTCAAATCAGCACTTGTTCTTTGCATGTGATATCATGGAGGGCTCTCACTATCAGTTCTGGAAGTATGCGAGGAGAGAACAAATCATGAAGTCACACTCACACCTTGGTGATGAAGCTCCAATTATTGGAGATGACAAGATGATCAATTGGGAAGAAAGGGCTTTTGCTGAAGACGCAGCTAGGATTCTTGGCGGGAGCATGTGGCCTCCAAGATCTTACTCTTGCACCTTTTGTAAGAGAGAGTTCAGGTCTGCTCAAGCTCTTGGGGGTCACATGAATATCCACAGAAGGGACAGGGCTAGGCTCAAACAAAATCTAAGCCCTCATCACAATGAACCCCTTCATCATCATCATCACAAAATTGATGATTGCATCAAATCCTTATTGAGTAATAATCGTCATTTTTCTGCACCAGAGATCTCCACCCAGATAGATTGCGGTCTTTCTCGTGCTCTTGATTATTCTAGCCAAGCAACTACAATTACAACAACCAGATCACTGTCATGTATATCTACACAAGAAAAATGTGGTCAGCATAAATTTTCACCTTCTTCTTCAATTATCTTGGATCATACGGGGTCTCCTAATTCAGAACAAGAAAGGGAGGTCAAAGCAAAGGAGTACAATTTTAATGGCTTGGGATGTGGTAATTATGTTGAAACACGTTTGTCTGTGGGTCTGACTTCCATGTTTGGCAAAAATTCATCGCCAACCGTTCCTTGTGGGGACAGACCCAACATCAGTTGCAAGAGACTAAAGACTATTCCTCTCTTCCTCGGACCATGTTCAAATGATAAGGGCCTGGCTTTTCAACCTGTGGAAATCTCACTTGGACTTGGTCATGGAATGGAAGACTTGGATCTTGAACTCAGGCTAGGGAAACAACAGAAACTTAAGTAGTTATTTATTAATTAATTTATAAAACAAACAGAAGTTTAAAATCTAATTATATTTCAAGTCTCCTTGTTACTCTTGTAGCCCTTTCCCTAGCCACTTCTTTCTCGATCCTCCATTTTTGGTTGCTAGAAAAACAAAGAGTCAAGAGGACCTTCTTCTTTGCTTAAATGATAAGGTTTACTTTCTTCAAATGTTTAATTCTACGATCTCTTGTTGCATGTTACTACAGTTGTTTTTCTTCTTCTTTTTTCCTTCATCGACTTAGTGTTTTCCTTTTTTGGTCTGAGACCAGTATGCAGTTCAAAATATATCATTAAGTTTATTAAATTGTATAATATTCATCAAAAAGATATATCTATATAACTTTTTATGAATATTAAAATTATTTATTGAATGCATCTAGTTTTTTTTATCACATTGCTTAGCTATTTTTATAATTTATTTTCCTTTTTCTACTTTTGTTGTAGTTATTACTATTGGAAAGTTGTTGTACAATTATAATTTCCCACAAATCAAGTAATGAATTAAAAAAAATGCAAATGGATTACAGTTTAGACGTACAAATAGGATGCATAAGGAAAACTGCAGGTTCGGACAGAAATGCGATAAAGAAAAAAAATAAGTGTAAGGTAATGAAGTGGTGAAAGAAACTGACACTAACTGACAATTAGAAGTCACTTCAGCTACATAAATTCCACAGAACTAACAGTACTCATAACCTCCGTAATAAAAATCTGTACAAAATAATCACTCATAAATAAAATTAGGGACAGATTTTCGTATAAAATGTATATTATCTTCAACAAAGTGTACCATTACCTTGTAATTGTATTTTGTTTGAATTTTATAAACAAAAAGAACCTTAGTTTGGATAACATAAACAGAAATTTAACAATAATTTAGGTCTTAACCTCTGGTTTGAACGGTAGAAAAATGTTGCTCTCTTTCATTGAATCCAATCCAATCCAAATAGATCTAAATTCTTCAACATGAAATGTGAAAAGTGTTAAGGCAACTAAAATTGTATTTATCATTAATTAATTCAAAGTATATTTTTACAATATATTTTAATTTTAACTAGCACACTATGAATATATAAGTTTAATTTATATATATTAACAACAGTAATATATATATTCATGATGATGAGATCAAATGATGAAATTTTATTAAATATTTATATAAAAAATGATATTAATGCTACATTATACATATAAATTAAATTAAAATAGTGAAATCATTTTATTTTTTTCTATTTTTTTCCGCCGTGGATATTCTCTAGCCGATGGAAAAAGTGATAATATTATGTCATGTCCAACGAGTTGATGAAAATCAAATATTTATTTTTCAACTTTATACGTATAGGTTGATTTTGAATATATAAAATCCGATGAAAACACCTGAACATTGGCATTGTTAATTAATAATAAGGTGTTAGAATCTTAATTATATCACCTCATGATCTTCCTAACGCGTCCAAAGATTCAACTAACCACACACATTATGGTGACAGGGCCTAGTTTGACACACACATACAGAAAGAGAGAACAAAGATCACATCATAGGCCTTGTAAACGCGTCTTACTTTTGTTTTTTCTCGTGGAAGGATATATCCACATGTTAGCATAGCTGTTACACTTTTGTGTGGTAGATGGAGAACAGGGTAGAGAGGAAATAAATAGAAAGAGAGTGAAAGAAAAAAACTAAATATTATTTCTATTCAGCTGTTTGTTTCAAAATAAAAATATTGTGCAGATTTGGCATAGGTTTTGGAGGACGAAGAGAGTTTTGTATTTATAGTAACTCAGAAACAGTTGTAGCCACCTTATTATGACACAGACCGTTCCTCCACGATACACGGCGATGTCACCGTCTCTGCTTTTCGTTTCAACCCTTCTTCTCTGAAACCAAACTTCGTCCATTGTTTGACTTCGTGCATGCTATCTAATTTGTTTAATTATTAGATCTGTGAACAGAAACAACAACGTCAGAGAGAGAGAAAGAGAGAGGTTGATGTATACCTTACCAGGGGAATTCAGCTACTCTTTCCTATTATGGCTTCCACTTCCACTGCCTCACCTTCTACCTAGGTTCACTCACATGCATGCTTATCGCAAATTTGTATATTATAGATGATAACTTCTCAGAAAGTTGGCAACATATTTAGAAAAATGTTCTTTCAGATATGAATATTATTTTATCCGTGAAAGAGAGAAAAGAAAAAATGGATATGATTTTATTTTCATAAAGATGATATTTTAAAATTGATAATCAAGAATTAATTTATACCTGTGACAATTCAAACAACCTTATGTTAAAGATATTTTGTTATATAAATAATGATATATCATATAATGTAATAAAAGAGTGATAAATCTTCATAAGTAATTGAATTAAGTTTACCTCTCGTTTTTATTTATATGTTTTTCAACTTATTTCATTTTATTTAAACTGATACCATGCATTGATTTTTATTTAAATCCCTTTTATGTTTATTTTGATTCCTCTCTCACTTGCTTGCAGTCTCCACGTGAATTTTTTAAAACATTCAACAGTTAAAGGTGATCACCTTCTGTGTTATAAATAGGAACACGTACATCATAAACCTTCTTTCCTATATACTATTACTATTTTGTTGGACCAACATATTCTTGGTCTCTACTACTAAACCTAAAGCAATTTTATTATGAGAAGATAACAAAGATTTATCATGAAAATTTGCAGATGTATATGTAAGATGTACATTACCAAAAAAAATGCTTATTATCTACTGGTAAAATATGTAGGTAATGCACTCACCTAAACAAAATATTTTTATTTATTACAACATTCTCCCCTTTATATTATATTTTCGAAACTTTGAATTATTATTAGATTAAGGGAATTGTCATTGGCAGGATTCAAATCCAAGTACTTCGAGTTGGAGGCTGATACTCCATTCACTAAGCTTATTAGGATATTTTGATAATAATTTACAAATAAATTATATTTATATTTATCCGATGTAAATATATAAATATAAAATATATATAAATATAAAAAATATAAATATAAAATATATATAAATATAAAATATATTTATATTTTGATATATTTATATATTTATATATTTGTATTTATATATTTATATATTTATATATTTTTATATTTTTATATTTTTATATATTTATATATTCATATATTTATATATTTTATATTTATATATTTATATATTTTATATTTATATATTTACACGAATAAATATAAGTATAATTTAGTTGTAAATTATTATTAGAATATCCTAATAGTTTAGTGGGTTCGATTCTTGTTAGTGATAATTCTTTAAAATTTACCTACGGATTTTTATCCGTAGGTAATAGGCTTTTTTTTGTAGTGTGTAGGACTAGAAAAAAAAATCAATTAAACTACGTATCAAACCATAATTCAAATTAAATCACACTTAAAACAATTCTATCGACCAGTTTTTAAAATCATATAGAGTTAAACCGATTTTGGTTTTAAAAGGAAAAGTTTTGGCTCAAAAATAGTTCCAAAATTAAAAAAACAGATTTAAAACTAATTTCATATTAAAACTAACCTTAAACCAAAAAATTAAATATGCTTGGGTTTATTGCTGGAATGAAGAGGTGATATGTACCTGATTTAGCAATTGCTTTTGTTTATATATTTTGGATGCTTTTGGTTTAAACAGAGTGTGACTGGAAGCATTTGTGTGGTTGAAGTTCAGAGCAGTTGTTCAGAATGCAGAGAAGATCTGACAAGTGCAGGGAGGTAGCACGTGTGTGTCTATAAGTTAGGAGTCTTTTTGGCAGTCAAAAACAGTTAAACATATGTAATATATATAACACTTCATGATTTTATTATTTAAAATTTTATAAAATTTACACTTTTATATTTTTAATTATTTAAATTGTATAATTAAATAATTCATTTAATTCCTTCTATTATTTCCTCGTTCCTATAAACTCCACTCGAATACCTTGTTATGCCACTCAAATACAGAAACACACGAGTCCAGTTTTTATTATATATTTTAACTTAAGTATGCTTCTGATTTTTATAAACTTAGTCAGTTTTAAATTTATTTTATTAAAAAATATTTTAATTATGGACCATTAAAGTTATGCTTTTTAATAAAATAAAATTAAGTTATACATAATAGGAGTTATTTCTATTCACCTTTCCAAGATTTTTTTTACCGAAAATAAATCAATTTTAACTTATATATAAATTATTTTTTAACTTATTTTATGTTATTCAAAAATTTCTGTAAGTTATCATCTTAGTAGAAAACCTTTTTTTCTTTATTATTATATTGCAATGTGAAAATGTGTAAAATATCTTTAAGGAAAAAAAAATCTCTAAAATAAATAATTTATGTACATTAAAACAAACCATGAGAATAAAAAAATAAATATATTATATTTTGAAAATTTTTAAAGAAAATTGTACTAAACCTAAATCTGGCCATTTTTTAAAACCCTGAATTAGTGATTTTAAGTTTAAAAATAACAAATAAAAAAATATTCATTTCATACGAAATAAAATCACATTTAGAAATTTTATATTTGTTGATTTTCTTCGAGTCTTTACATAAAACCGAATAACTTAAAAAATCATTTATGATTAGATTATCTTAAAATAGGTCATCGACTTTCACTGTTATTAGCAGACACCCACAATTGATCCAATGATGGTTTCACCATGTCAAATATTTAATTGCTAACGTTTCTTTTTAGATTCTTTTCAAGGTCAAACAAACATCGACGTTGCTTCAATTAGGGATGTTCGCAGAAAATTGATGAAGTGGACTCGTTACAAAATAGATCGATAAGCTAGCATACCAGTTTTTTTAAATATTTTTTTAAATTATATTTGTAATTATATAAATAATTTTTAAATCTTTATTTATTAATTAATAATTATATTCAATAAATTAAAAATTAATATATTTATATATTAAAATATTTATAATTAATTATTTACACTTAACAAATTAATATTACTAATTTAAATTATATATATTAATAATATAATAAAAAATAAATTATAATTATTTGTATTTTTATTTTTATTTTAATATATAAATATTTTTTAAACCTGAGGGGAAATCAAAACAATAGTTTTGCACACCAACAACTCAAGTTGTTGTGGCAACATCTTTGGATTGAAGTTCAACTCAATGTTTTCTGTTGGGCCAAGTAATTGAACATTACATTCTTGGGCTTTGGTTGTGTTTCTCCCAATCATGTGGCCCATTAGGACATCTTATCCTCCCCTGTAGCTAAATAGTGTTCCTTCTTTTATGTTGTCAGCTAAAAACGCTGTTTCTTGATTCAATATGAATTTATCAACTCAACGCAAAAGCTATTCTGTTATGATCTTGAACATGGTGTGTCTTCTTCTTCTTCATCTTCATCTTCAGTATATTTCTTACTATTAAAATTAAACAATAACAATTAACATCTGTCTAGTCTTCAGCTGATATTTACGCGTGTACGTTGGGCTTCTCGTGGCAAACATTGAGCTTCGTTCACAATGTTCTACTTTGCTCATAAACGACACGAAACCAAACTTCATGCCATTCGTGGCAAACATTGAGCTTCGTAGGAAATTGAAGAATCAAGTCACTCCCAATGTTTTTAGTTGCCCATGAATAATACCAAACTAAACTTTATGGCATTAAAGAATCACAAAGCCAGTCTCCATAAAAAAATTAATTAAAGCATTTTTCGTCAGCTTCTCTTCGAAAAAAAAATATATAAATAAAATTATTGTTTCTATAAATAAATAAATAAAATTAATAATAAACATATAATATGTGTGTGTGAAAACTGAACTGATATTTTTAAAGACAACCTAATATTAATCATATTTATACAAGTTAAAATCATAATTAAGAGAAAAGAAAATCGACCTACCTAACATGGTACTTTCATAATTTGTGGAAAAAACATTATCTTAAATTTTAAAAAATCCAGAATATGTAGCATTGCTTATTGGAGTTGCATGATTGCTGATATATTTTGTTGACGTTGGTGGTGAAGGCTATGGTGAGGCTATACTACTACATGGCCCTCATGCTTCACTGTTGGCCACTTTTATGACTCATCATGCCATAAACTGAGAGCATCAACAACCAGGACACAGCCAGGATAATAAAATATGTGGCCTTTGATGGTTTCACTTAAAAATATCAATGACATCATAGATATTATTTTAAAACATTATATGTACATCTTCATTTTAGTATTGTGATGTAGTTATTGTTGCTTGAAGAGAGTCTTCATTTTATGACATTAATGTATGTATTGATATTCCTCCACCTTGATTGGAGGAGAGACTAACATGTGTGACAGGTGTCAGATATCCAATGATCATGTTCATAAAATAATTATGGTTTTTTGTATTTTGCGTCATTTGTAAGTGGGCGGCACAAACTGACGTAATTTGCAAATTCTAAAAGCACCCAAGGTGTGCTGTTAGTATGTGCTTTTACAATATTGGTTAATGTTATATTGAAAGTAAAATTTAACTTCAATAATTATTCAGTTTTTATAATATCAAATTATTTTATTTTATTTTTAAAAGTATATTCCTTAAATAATTGAAATTAAATACGATATGAATTATTTGTTAAGATGGTTGATAAACTTAAAATACCAAAAATATGCATGTTTGTATATATAATATTAATGGTTAGAATATATAGTGTGCTATAGAAAACAATGAAAATAAATGAACTTATTATTATTCATTTTCAATATTTTTTGTGATGAATGGGTTAAGATAAGAAAAACAAACAAAACCTTGTATCGTGAGTGGGAGAATAAGTATTAATTACAAATAAAAGAGTAAAAATATTAATAATATTTACAATATTAAAAACTATAAACTAACTTTTGAAGAAAAATAAATAAATAATACATGCAAAATTATCACACACTACTTAAAAAAAAAAAAAAAAACACTGCTGATTGAAATGAAAGGTTAAACGCAACCTTAAAAAATGTTATTTTTTTATTAAATAATTTCATTGATAATGTGTAGTTATAAATGCACTGTGCTCTACCGCCGTACTTATATAAAAAAAAGTTTGTCCATTGTACAAATATCTTTTCAAGTTGTCACATTCATAAATTATCTTCTAGTTAAAATATCTTTAATATTTTAAAACAAATCCTTTAATATAGAAGAAAAAATGGTAATATTTATTTTTCCAATATTAATGGATACATGATCATTTTTAAATATATTAATTTCTATTTTTTGTATTTTTTTATTGTAAATTTTATTCATAATATATTACTCGTTTTTCATTAAGTGAATCCATTAAGCTATCAAAACAATTTCATTGATTTTTTTCAAGATAAAATAAAGATTTATTAAGACATTTCTAAAATTAATTCATTAAAATATTATATATATATAAACGTGCAACCATTTTCTATGTCCTCGTTTATTAATCCATGTCAGGATAAATTAGAAGGTGTGTAAATTAACTGATGCCTTTTAAAAAATATCAATTTTTTTAATAAAATTAATATTACAAACTAAAGAAATAATATTTGTTAACTAGTGGTATAAATTATATAAAAGGCGTTATATTAGGGTTAAAAGTAGTAATTAACAAAAAAATGTCAGAATAATTTTTCAACACATTGATAAAAGTATTTGATTGTTTTTTAATTATGAATTTTTATAATCTCACATTTTATGTAAGAACGTGAATGTGTCATGATTATATCATTTAAAAAATAATTAATAAGAACAGAAGGTTAAGAAGTTATAGCATTTTTCAGATGGATATATTTTATTAGGAAAAGTAAGAATATTTAGTAATAAAAAGATAAAAATAAAAAATATCCTGTAAAACAAAATAATTATTGAAAAAAAATATTGATGTATGTATGGTTTTAAAGGAACATGGGAAATGTGATGGCATGTGAGATAGTAATGATTATAATGGAGGTGGGAAGGGGAACGTGTCCAAGTGGAATTAGAGGAAGGAAGAAAGGTGGTTTTGATTGGACCTAAGTAAAGGACACGCGTCCGCTAAATAATTTGGGGAAGCTAAGGTTATTGGTGCAAACGTCAATCCTACACGTGCTCTCATCCTCATTCCTACGTACCACATTTTCATTGGACATTTGGAACCAGCAGCGGAATAAATTAATTCAACCAAAAACAACGCTCTCTCTTCCCTTTCAAACTTCTCCACCTTCTTCCACACACATTCACCACCTCTTAACTCCTCAACTTTTTTCTTCCCATTTTTTGTTTCTCCCTTTACTGTAAAATCCCCATCTTTTAACATTTTCAACCAATTCTTTAGTTTTCTTAAAATATGATACTCACTAAGTTTTAAAATTACACACATTATTTTTCATAGAGATCATTGTGATTAATAATGAAGAAAGTACAACTGTAATTTTAAAAATTATTGACATTAGTATTATTATATTGAGAGTATTATTTTTCGGTTTTTACGTTAAAATCTAATTTTCCATTTTTTAAGTTATATCGATTTTATATTTTTAATTTTGATAAAATAATTATTTACCATATAATTTTTTTTAAATACATTTAATAACATACAACAATATATAAATTCAGTATACTTTGTATAATCTCTTTTAAGATATTTTTATTTTTTATTTATTTTAAAATTGCACAAGTCATATTAAAGTAAAATAACTGCGAAATTCCGTAGTTTTAAATTATAGTTTTTTATATTAATATAACAAAGCAATTTTTTAAAGAAACTATGTAACTGTTACAAATTTTATATTTATTATATTGATTCTAATTACTATTCTAAACTTATATATGTATATATTTAAAACATGTCAATAACAATAAAAAAAACATTATAAATATATCAAATTCAGGGTTAAATAAAGTAAACTGAAAAAAATACGATTACATATCTGTGTTTTCGAAAATTACAAATAATGTAGATATTTTGAGTTAAAAAAAAAGGTATTTTAATAAGTTTATTTCAATTAATAACTTATTTACTCCTCTTAATATATGTAAACAAAGTATCAATCATTTTACAAGTTTATTAATAGTTGTGAGATCAGAGACTGGTATGTTATAAACAAAATATCTATATTTAATAGCAATAGAAATGAGTCATTAATTAATAAAGTATAAAGATATTTTGTATTCATAATATGATGAAAACAGCTCAATTGAATATAAATAATTAAAAAAAAAAAAGAAAAAAAAATCATGTATCATGTATGAGGAATTTGTTGAGGCGTCAACCATGGGAAATCAGAACCAGACAAGAATCTCGTATTCTACGATGTCGCCACGTGGTACTATCCTCAGGGGTGTCACATAAAAGAGAAAATAAAAACGCAAAAGGAGAAACTGTTGAGAGAGAGAGAGAGAGGGGGGACGTAGTGTTGGTAAAGGACCATATGCGTGTCAGAAAAGGAACAAGTTTCAACCTAGCGTGGTAATTTGTGATTGGTCCACGTGTAGAATAACAAAAGACATCACCACGTGTAGGAATCAGAGGTTCGCAACGATGCGATGAAGGGTTGGGATTGCATCTGGGTATTAAATGGTTCGACGTCATTCCAACTGTACGTGTCGGGTGATGCCCGTGACGGTGACGGGCAGCTGTGTGGTCCCCACGTGGCTGCCCGGTTTCCCTTCGCCCTCTCTACAAATCCTTCTCCCCAGACCAATCTCAACTGAACATGCATTTCGTATATCGTATATTTTCACCGCAATAATAGCGTTCTCGACTTCTTTCTAATTTTCCCTCTTTTCTTCTCAAGACTCGATAAGAATTTGTCTTCAAAGCAATTACTCGGATTCAGTGAGTGCTTTTCGTTTTGGAATGGCTGGGATTTGTTGTGGCGTTGTTGGGGAGGCCGGCGAGACTCCTTCTCCGACCAAATCTACCTCGCGCCCTTTCGCTCGCCGGAGTTTGGACCAACTACCTTTGAAGTACATAGCCGGTGTGGCAATCCCGCCGCCGGAGAACCGTCGGAAGCGCCAAAAGCTGGACCAGGGCGCTTCTCCGGCGCGGGAGTGTGAAAACGCGGTTCAGAGTTCTGAATCGAAGGGAATCGAGGCTGTCTCGTTTCCGAATTGTACGAAGGTTCCTACTTTAGACTCGACAAAGGCTGTCGTCGAGGAAGAGTGTCCGGGGTATGGGGTAACCTCCGTTTGTGGCAGGAGGAGGGACATGGAAGACGCCGTCTCTGTGCATCCTTCGTTTTGTCTCGAAAATTGTGACCAAGATCAGAAAGGGTTTCACTTCTTCGCTGTTTTTGACGGCCACGGATGCTCACACGTAAATAAATTACAGTCATATAAATGATAATACCTTTTTTATTTTTCCTCGGATCTGGTTTGCTAACAAGTTACCCCGTTTTTGTGTACAGGTGGCGACTATGTGCAAGGAGAGGTTACACGAAATAGTGAAGGAGGAGATTAACGAAGCGAAAGAGAATTTGGAATGGGAATCGATGATGAAGAATAGTTTCGCTCGAATGGACGAAGAGGTTCTAAGGTGGAGCAAAACCAACGAGACACGCACTTGCAGGTGCGAGCTTCAAACCCCGCGCTGCGACGCCGTTGGCTCCACCGCAGTCGTCGCCGTCGTCACACCGGACAAAATCATCGTTGCAAACTGCGGAGACTCACGCGCCGTGCTCTGCCGGAACAGCGTACCCGTTCCACTCTCCGACGACCACAAGGTAATAATAATTTAGAGTTTTTTGGTTCATCCGTTTGGGATCTGAATCTGTCGCGTTCTTGACACGCGCTAATCATTTAGGTTGATTGTGGTAGTTCCATTAGGGGATAGTGGAGGTGAATGAAAAGTTGCACTAACAATCCTTTTTGGTTTTGGTATTCGTCTTGAACAGCCGGATCGACCCGACGAGTTACTTCGGATCCAAGACGCCGGAGGGCGCGTGATATATTGGGACGGGCCTAGAGTGCTTGGGGTCTTGGCCATGTCAAGAGCCATAGGTATACTATAATGAACTTTCTTTTCTTTACTAATATATTTTAATGAGGGTTGGTTCTGAATTACTAATGAGGGTTGTGTTGTGCAGGGGACAATTATCTGAAGCCGTATGTAATTTCGGAACCGGAGGTAACGGTAACGGAGCGGAGTGACAAGGATGAGTGTTTGATACTAGGGAGTGACGGGCTTTGGGACACGGTGCAAAACGACACCGCTTGTAAGGTGGCGCGGATGTGTCTGAACGCGCAGAAGCCGTCATCACCCTCTTCTCCGGGGAGGGAGTTGGCGGTGGACTGGTCCGACAAGGGGTGCTCCGACGCCTCCATTCTTCTGACAAAGTTGGCGTTGGTGAGGCACAGTTCAGACAACGTGAGCGTGGTGGTGGTTGATTTGAGGAGAGATGAATAATTGGAATTAATAATTAATTGAATGAAGACTGGGGTTTAAACAGTTCTAATCAACCACCCCAAACCTAAAATAGAAAATCTGCAAGGACTCCTTTACTTTTGTTCATTGGATGATTCCATGTGATTGTAATTAGATAGTAGTTTTTAAGTATTTTAAATCAAGTGATGGTGAAAATTGTAGTTTTGAAAAATATCACCAAATTATGTGAAATTTTTAAGAGTAGTGAAAAATTTATCAACTAAGGGAGGAACTGTTTTGCCTTTGCTTGTAACTGTACAATTGAAATTGAAATTACTAGCTTGGATCTTCCATTGTGCCAATTCTTTTGTTTGGTGACCATTGAAAGACGAGAGTATATGGAACAATACTATTGCGATTTGTTGTAATACTTTTACGTACCCTTTGAGTTATTCTAGCCATTTTTGGCATACATCTCTTAATCTAGCCTGCCTTCACATCACGAGTTGGCCTCAAATAGACTTCAGAAATGAATTTGCCTGGCTGAGTCTTTACAAACTTGACAGAGGGAAAGTTTAAAATGTCTATATATCATCTCCAATGCAAACAGTCTTCATATACAAGACATTGTTCTTATCAATTGCTTTCACACTCAAAATGAAAATTAACCCACGGGAAATTTAGATCCAAGAAGTGATTAAAGAAAGAAATATATAAATGCATGCCCAGAACATGCAAGAATTTAACAGATCTAGAAGATTAAATCAAAGAACATGTCTAAAAGACTTCACAAATTTCTAACAAAAAAAAAAGGAAGAATCGGCGTGATTTTCTTTTCCACGAACTCTGATACCTTCACAGCACATGCCACGTTGTTTGCTAGCTTCATCCACATGATGGACTAGTTCCATCTAGGAATCCATTCTTTGTGTTTAAGTATTTGTTTACTGTTGTTATTTCCTGTAGAAAACTGAATTTGACCTTAAATAAATATACAACAATTGAATCTGAAAATTTGTTTTTCAAGCTTTATCGAGACAGAAAAAAAAAAAAAAAGAAGACGAGAGAGTAATCAGACATGGCATCCTCAAATGGTGCCCGTGAATTTTTAGTTACACTATATTATTAATTATATAGGAGGCAAAAGAACGTTAAAGGCACCATGAGAGGTGAGCACGAAACAAAATCAGACATGACTTGATAAGTCGATTGCCACCCAAAATGTTCTCAATTCTCATCACAGATATTTCAGAGCCATGATTTCATTAGTCAATCTCCACTTTCATGGTTCAATAATTCCACCAATCCAGCTTTTGGACATGCAATTTATGATTTATCTTATTCATCCACTCCACTTTCTAGACACGACAGGGAACAATTTACAGAACATGACTCAGATCAAACATATATACAGCTATTTTTTAAACATAATGAAATAGTTTTTGGGAATATGGTAACTTATATTTCACTGATCTTTTTAGCAGTGTAATTCTAGTTTCATATATCCTAAAGTAATGTTCGGTGTGAAAACTTTGTGAGGATAAGGTTGAAACATGAAGCAGAAGGTAAGCTAAGGTCATGAATAAACCACATTCCCATTCCTCGTTTGGCATATATAGATTTGGATAAGATATCAGATGCTGTAATATTATCCTATCCAAACCTTCACACAGAATCAAATACAAAAAACAGAGAAGAAATAACACGCTTATGTTCTAACTCAATGAAAACTGCGCACGTTTCTCTATTATTATTGATATAAAGAATCACTGGAATAAAAAGAATAAAAGAAACCATTCATGGGATGAAATTTTTTTAATTATAAAATTCTATTGCTAAACTGTTTTTAAAGACAAAATAGACGAATTATAGTTTAAAATGAACAAATTAATTTTAGTTTATAAAAAGAGACATAATTCATATATTTGATTTCATAAAAAAAGCATTTTGAAAAGGTTACTCAAAGTGATTATGTGTTCTTATTCCACAAGTATGTTGCAACATATCAAAAGTTTCCACGGCTCTTATAATGAGATTGACCATGAATGTCCCACTTTTGATGATTGCCTAAACAAATATAATATCATAAGGAATAATGTTGTAAAGCAAAAAATGCAACAATAGTTGAAAAACCAGTCACCCAAATTTAATAAACAATATTACACCACAACGAGAAAGCATTCGACAAACTTAATATTTCATCTTTAACTGTTTCTCCATGTCGAACAAGATGGTTTTATTTTGATACTTACTCCTTGTAAATATTATTTTTGTTCATCATTTTTTGTGTTTTTTTTTTCTTCGTTAGAAAGAAGACAAGAGTGTTACTAAAAATTATTGGGATGAGATGGTTAAATCATAAATCATAAAATATCCAAGATATGGGTCCAGGGGTCTAGCCTGTTACTAAAAATCAAGGATAATATCATAACTTGAAATTGCCAAAAACGGGTGGACCAAGGAATTCATTCCTATTTTTATTAAGTTGATTAAGAAACTGTCCTTAAACATAGTTCTAAATACTTGCATTCAATTTGTTTTATCCACCCTAATCAAATTTTTATTACTTAAATTTAAGTTAGATTTATTTTCATGTATTTAATTCAAATAATATTATTAAACTCAATTATGATATTAATTATTCAATTTTTAAATATTTATTGTTAAACGAAAAGTTATAGTTGATGATGAAGATATAACTCTTTAAATTTTTTTAAAGAGTATTTGTCTTGGTAATAATCGTACTGCACTAGGTCTAGGTTAATTCTGATGTTTGAACTCTAATAGATGATAATTGATAACTTATAACAAAAATCTTCAAATAAATAAAATCAGTAAAACATAATTAAGGATTCAGCATTAACTTATTATTAATTTAGAGATAAAGGGAAAAAAATTAAAGCAACTAAATTTTAATAGTTATTTCTTTCAAATATGGTTTTGGGAATAGATTTAGAAACAAGCAAATGTGTTAATGTTGAGGGAAAACTGCAACAGCCATAAGCGTCATCATGATTTGTGTTTTCAAAGGGTTAAAACCTGAACTAAACTAAATTAATAAATTTTCAGATATTTTATGCCAAGTTGTGATGCACAATTTATTGACGGAGAAACTGTCTTGTGGGTGTGTATTTTCTATACGTGTGTAAGTCTTAAATTAATTATGCATACCATACCATAGCCACGTTGCAATAAACCTCGTGTACATTTCAACTTATTATTCATAATTTAACTTTAACTCATTCTATGTAAACAAGTATTGAACCTGATTAAGAATAGATTAAGTAATATTAGTCAAAATCCACGTCAAATATAACCAATTCCTGGAAGATGAAATTAACTTTTTGACACCTTTTTTTTTTAACAACCTTCTAACAAATATAAAAAGAATTTTCTAAAGAGGGAAAAAATATTAGATATGATTATATTCCAAAAGTTAGTCACCACCTGTTTAAAACTTATGTGGCTTTTATTGATGAGATGGACCATGAGTGTTCCACTTCTGGTGATTACCTAAATATTCTATCCATAAGGAATAATAATGTTGTAAGCAATGCGGAAGTGGGAGAAGAATAATAGTTGAAAATTTATTGGTCCAACATTAGACCTGAATAAACAGCAAAACATTTGATGAACATTGCTCAGAATTTTTTACTTGGGAGCATCAGATTCTGGTATTTTGTCAAACACATAGTGGGGGAAACTCTATGGAAACCTCTCGCTGCTGTTGATTAATGATTGGTAAGTTTTCTTTTTTTTCTGGTACAATTACACCTTACACAATTGAAATCTGCTACTAGACTGCTTCTAATGCAATTGGAACCTTGCCTTTTCTCATAGATCAACACTGAAAGTATATTGGAAAGTTGTCGGCCAGAACATTTCACTGAGACATTTGAACCTCAGGTTAGGCCCAAAAGACTAGGTCAAATTTTAATGGGCTTTAAGAGATAGATTTTCCAAAGACGCCCAACCTATTCAAAATCAAGACCTTTGCCATTCTTGGACCCAATTGGCAAGTACACAATTTGATCATTCGGCCACTTCAGAACTTAAGAGGAAAAAAAGTACACATTTCTTATAATTTATAATTGTTTTAGAGCAAAAGTCCCTTACTTCCTTAGATCAACCAATTAATTATACTTACCTCTTTTAAAATTGTACTAAATGAAATTCATATCTTCTCTAGTTTTAAAAATATATATCTTATATTTTTTACAAAATGACATTCATTCTCTTGAGATTTTTTAATAAATATTCACTTCCCTCATATTTTTAATAAACAACATTCACCTCCCTTATTTTATTTATAAAAATATTTTTCTATGTTATTGTTTATAAAATTTTTAAAAATTTGTAATTTTTATATTTTAAATTTTCATACTTTTTATTTAATTTTAGTCAGTATGTTAGTTTTGAACAAAATAAGGAAAACAAATATCATTTTATTAAAAATAAAAAGGAAGGTTTATTAAAAACATAAAAAAGTGAATACCTAATTAAAATTTAAAAGGGATGTAATGTCCTTTTAAAAGATATGAGAAAAAAACCTAAAAAAAAGGTAAAATAAAAATAAATAAACAGGTAGGACATTGTTACAAATTTAAGGTGATGGCAATAAACAACAACAGTAAAAGGGAGCAATACACGGAAACACCGGTATAAATAAATAAATAGACGTAGTTTCTCAAATAGTCCAAAACTGATATTGTATACTGTAAGAAGTATACTTCATTCATTATTTTAAGCAACTACATAAGCATAAACAGGAGTCACTAAATATTTCTGTCTACACTATTTCCTCAACTTCAACATGATGGGATTTGAATAATGCTGATCAACCATCTAAAGGCGAATGTTTTAACCTTGTGCACCAATTTCACCATCCAAAATTGCATGCCTGGTTAAAACAATCTCTTTCACAAGATTTCTGTAAGTGAAAGGTCTAACAACAGCCCGCAAAAATAGCTCTGGAGGAATTCTGCTCTTCTTAATCTTTTTTCTCCACTTTCCAACCCCAATATGCTTCCACTCTTCTGGACTCACCTTTGCTCGCTTGCCTCTCAAGGCAGTTTCATCTCCATCAACTGACTGTGCTGTTTCTTCTATTTTGTTCATCTTTGATTGCTTCTTTTCCAATTTCTTACTGGTTTCAAGAGCCTTCTTTGCCAGATTTTCCATTGCTTCTCCACTACTCAATGCTTTTTCTAATTCCTCATTCCAATTGAAGTCCGTCTCATCCTCTTCCATGGCCTCAAATTTACCCTCTTCGCCTTCTTCCATGTTCATCAATAGATCTTGATTTTCATCAAGACCAACATCATGAACGACATTATCAATAAACTCCTCTCCCTCTTCCTCTTCCTCTTCCTCCTCATCATTAGCATCATCATCACTACCTTCATCCTCAATCCAATCTAGAATCTCAATATCATCAGGGTCATCCACAACAGCATCGTCTTCTTCATCAGGAGCATCACAACCCAGCTCCATCTCTTCCAACTTAGCCTTCCACTCTTTCGTATATGGATGTAACAACTCCACTGGATGGTTTTTCAACAGAAACTCCAAACATTTTGACTTTTTCTCATCACTCAATTTCTCAAATGCATTCACCACATCATCGACAAATGCCTTTTGATTTACCTTCACAATCTTACACAATCCGCCATAGTAAGTACACAATTCAACACTACCATCATCATTCTCTAACTCAAAAAGAAAATCCTGTTCTGTATGAGGATTAAGAAACGGAATTATTGGCTTGAAAAAGTCATCCTGTGGCTCAAACCTACACTGGAACACTGGCTTCTTCACATATATAATATCAGGTCTCATCCATGCAGCACATTGCCCTATCGATGACCTAGCCTTGTTCCCAAGTCTACCCATCAAATTCCACTTATCTAATCTCTGTTTACCTGCTTCAAGTACTACTTCACAAACTAACGTCCATTGCTGCCAGGGAAGCTCTGAAAGTCTCCACCTTGGGTGCCTTACAAATACCCAAAAATACCTTAATTTACTTTGATCCAGCTGCTTCACTTTTTCTCCAAAATCTTCAGCCATTTCAGCTTGTTCAATCTTCTCCCATTCCTCAATGTCCTTCACTTCACTGATTAATGTCACACACTCATCAGTGATCCCTCCCCGAACTGGATCGCCCACAACAACTCCACGCCAAGAGTAGGGTCCATATTGACCATACTTATACCAATCATAAGGATGACGCAAATTTGGGTCATCCTTCTCCATAAACCGGACCATTCGATCATACCCGAGGCCAATTTGTTGGAGCTCATCCTCAGTGAAGTTATCAGCATACTTCCCAGCACCATGAGGATTTTTCAGCCGGTAGAATAGAGACTCAGCATACTTCTTGGTTCTTGCCCTAGCATTGCGCCTCAACCGATTGCGGAACTCAGCACTGCCTTCAATTCGACCACCAGAGGAGCCAGCACCACCAGACTTCTTGCTGCGACCAGCATAAGACCTGAGGTCCCTTCCTGTGCCAGGTGAATTCCGCCCCAAGATTAAGGATTCACTAACTGGTTTAGGGCTTTGGGATAATGACACAACTTCAAACCGTTTGTGTGATTGGAATTTTACGTTTGGGGTTTTGTTGAAAGGTGTAAGAGGTGAAAATTGAAGGTATGTTGAAAATGGGTTTACTGTTGTGGGCAAAAATTCACTTCTAAAATGCCTGAGATCCATCAAAAAGCACCCACCACCACCAACTAAACACATAAACAATATAAAAACAAATTAGAGTTTCCAACTAGAATCATTACTCATGCAAACAACATCAACACAGATTCAGTAAAGTTATAAAACGAGGATCATGTCTCAAGCCACACAAGTATCAAATTTTTGCAAAATTATTCACCAAACTTAAAAGAAAAGAAGTAATGCAATCACAAAAAACAACAGGGTCGTATCCTCACCCCTTCTCTTCAGCTTAATATGCAAACAAATGGATAAAACTCAGAAAATTTTGAAAATAAAATAAAATAATGAAAAGATGGTGAAGAACAAATGAAGTAATAGAAAAGAGAGTATACCATTATAGTACATACGATTGCTTCGCTCTTTCTTGCCCTAGAGAGAGAAGAAGAAGAAGAGGAAAAAGGAGGTGAGCATTGTGGATATGAACTGTGAATAGATATTTTGAAACGCTGGACCTGCGGGCAAATGTAAAAAATATTTTATCAACAAGTGGAAAGCGTCCACATTTTAATTTTTATTTTAATTTATTAAAATTTAACGTATATATTAATTTTAAAATATAAATATTAATTTTAAAATTATGAATAGTTTAAAATAAATAAAAAATGAAGAACAATTAAAAGTTATATAATTGAAAGATTATGAAAAAGAATATTTTTTATTATTTTATATTCAAGAAAAAAAATTAAAAGATATCGGATGATTAAGAAGAATAGAGAAAAAAAATATAACATAAATATAATTTTTTATATCAAAAGTCATTAAATAATTTTTTATATTATTATAAATAATAATATATAATTATTTCAAAACTCATCTTTTTATTATTTTTAATTTTTAATAACACATACAATATATAAATATATTTATACTAAAGAATATTTAAATCAATTGTAATTATACGCGTTAAACGGGGTAATTACGCAAATAATCTAAGTTAATTCACGAACACAATTACAAATTACTTTTACTATAACTACACATTGTAAATAATAAACTATATAATAAATAGAATATACAAATAATAATATATTATAAGATTTGTATTTAGCATTTTATCTTATATATATTTAAGTTAAATTTTAATTTTAATCTTATATATTAGTGATTAAAATATTTAAATTAAACTATTTTGTATATTTTAAGAAAAATAATTACATAAAAACTATACAGTTTAAATAAAATTGTAGTTTTTTAAGATTTTTTTAAAATAAAAAAAATCACATACAATTTTAATGAAAAAATAAATTTAACATATTAACATAATATTTCATAATTCTATTGAATAAAATTTAAGTCTATTATTATCCATTTGTTTTAATGTAACAAAGAATTAAAAAGATAAAAACATTTATCTTATTTAATAATAATAATAATAATAAATATACTTTTTTTATTAAATTTACATGTTTTACTTACAGTTATATATATTTAAAAATTATCACTCTATTACATCTCCATCTCCATACTAAATAAATACATAATTTTATACATAAGTAATTTTATATTATTCTAACCTAATCACCCAATAAATTCCGAGGAACTCTTAAGAAATGATGAATCATTTAGTAAAATTAAGTCAACTTGGCCGTCACAAATTTATAACCCAACTTGTTTTTAGACATAGACAAGACTTTTGTTTGAAAAATGAATCAATTTTTTTATAAAAACTTATTTTTATTAAAAGGATCAAGTTTAGACCACTTACTTTGACTTTCCTAATTCAGTAAATTATATTTTTCTGTAAGTATTATTATTATTATTATTATTAGAATAACTTTGAAATTATATTTTTAAAATAACTTGATCTCTACTATTTCTATTGGCATGTTTTGGAGTTAATTGGCATGTTTGAACTTAGAAAACGCTTGGAATAGCCACCGGACCCAGTTCGTTTACGTTTGGAAGTAGTGCTAACAGTAACAATATCAAATATGTATTATGAAACAAATACCATTGGTTACAATAAACTGAATAAGTCGTGGATTATGATTACACATGCTTATTTTCATAGAAAGTTTCATAAAGCTAAAATGCAGATCTAGGTGTGGAGTGATGAGACACAGTACATTACACACCCGAATGGATGAAATCAGAACCCAGACAAAGCTCAGTTTAAGGTAATATACAAATAAATTGAATTTTATAAACATGTTAAATGATGTGCACAACATACGTATCCAGCTGCTCTAATGTCCAGAATCAACAGACAAAAAACAAGTGATATTTACACTTGTCTCATCCTCCTACTAGTCTAAAATCAGTGTGACCCTATTCTGTTGATTTGCAGAGAGTGACGGTTTGCATTAACCGCGAAGGCGCTTATCACAAACCAAGACCCTATAACTTGCATGAGGACCCTCAGATGTATCTCGCAATGTCACCTGCCAGCCCATGGCCTTACCAATCTCTATAAGCTCATCCATGATAGCAAGAGTGTCACGGATGTATGCCCGTCCACCAGGTCTTAGAATCCGATCCATCTCCAGCATAATTGATGACACATTGCATCTGATCATAAGAGACAAATGGAAAGATAGTTACCACGTAACCTGAACAAGTTTCTTTTATGCAATAAGCATTCATGAAGTCATAATACATGCACTAATGAAGAATGAAAATACAAAAATAACTTATTTCAAGATGGACAATGTTTAGATGTAGATTAGTAAAGCATAAGCGTCTCAATTTAATGACATTAGTATATGCTTCACTATGGCAAAGAAGGATGAGTAACACATCCGATATTCAAACCATTTTATTTTGCTCGAGATAAATAATATCTAGAGTAATAAAGATTACTTATGCTAAACCCACAAACAGCAGATTAAAAACAACGAAAGAACAGAAAAAAGGTAATGTCAGTGGAGCCATCCCTGATTCAACCTGACATACTTTCAATACACTATTTTTTTCTTTTTTCAGTTTATCAACACAATAGCAAAAAGTAGCCCAGAAAAAGATTGAAGAGTTGACGAGTAGACAAAAGGTACCTTTTCTTCTCAACAGAAAGCAGGTTCGCAGCATGCAGAAAATCATAAGTTCTGGGATAGGTGTCAAATGGTTCACACCTAAATTACAAAAACATAAATAGAGAAATATTACAACTTTCTGAAAGTTTACAAATACTGGTACAAGTTTTTTAGTATGTGTAAGGATATTGGGTTTGGGCCGAAGGCCAACAGCTGGTCTGAACACAAAATTAGTTACAGGAGGCAACGCAAGGGGGAAGGTATTAGGTATTAGACCCCTGACAGGTTGGGCAGAGAGAGAGAGTCTTCTCTCTGAGGAGCATTAGCTCTGGAATTACAAGGATCATCTTATGTAATAGTTTGTGTTTTTCCAATCAATAATATTGTTTTTTGTTTAAATTGAATTTGGTTCCTAATAGTATAAGTTTAAAGAAAATAATTAATAAGTTTAATAAAATACCAGTCATGCATAACTCCAATCAGTCCACGGTCATATATAACAGGTAAGGTGTTTGAACCACTAACGGGAACAACATTCATAACCCAGCTGTCAAGCTTCTGATCAATCAATGCTGCTGCAAATCTGCACAGTACTCAAATAAATTGAAGATACTAATCAGAAAATCCTATATTGATATTATAACAAGAATGGAAATAAAATAAAGGTCATACCCTCCAAATCCAGCTCTCATGTCCATAACATTTCTTAATCGCATCTTCTTCCAACGTAAGACGCGTACATAGCTTGCTATAATCTCACCCCAATATTTTGATTCGGCCTTAAAAAGCTCATTTCTGGATATAAAAGCATCAAATTTTATGCTTTGAAGCCTATCAGGTGGAGTATGCAAACGTGCAGGCCATCTGGCAACATTTGCTCCATATCCATTCTCAGGCAGTTGAGAGATGCAAGCTCTTAGATTAACATACCTAAATTGATCAAGCAAATAATGAAATCAACAATATTGGGCTTGCAATATTTTGATAAAAGAGCTATCACGAAGCTTGACCCAAATTGTTCAATTTTAAGAACTATATAACTTGTCATTAGGTTTCATCCCATCGGTTGGATGGGTTAAGGTTGTTTATATAGACTACTTTTCATTGCAAATATCCTAAACAAACAAGTATAGTAAGGTTAGATAACATATTCCGCATCATTAAATAGCCATAATGTAGTTTCTGTTTCTTTCTTTTTTTCGGTTTTATCAGGAAGGATTATGTGCACTATAAGATTTCCATAATTTTAGTGCATGCTTAGGCAATTGACCTAAGAGGCTAAAGTATTAAAGAAATATATTCAAAATTTTAAAATATCTATACAAAGGCTTCAGTGCATTGTTGATCATGGACTTCGAGCTCGTGCATAACTAAATTTTTTATTTTATTTCCCTGTAACCCAAATAAATTAGTAGTTCTTAATTGGGAAGCTCTATCACAAGATGATGATAGTAATTTTACATATCGTTAATTGTCATGCCAATAATCAAACAATTGGATAAGTTAAAAACGTGTCATATAATATTCTGTAGATCAGTAGATCAGGAAGGCAAGAGCACAATACCAAACATTGTCGGGGTCATCACTTTGGTCACACAGTGGAGGTTGAGTTCCTGCCTCACGATTTAGATAGCAGCTATTGTCAGAAGGTTTCTGCCATATTGCAACATACCCATCTTTTTTCATAAACTTCCAGCATAGTCGAGTAGTAAGATTAAGCATCTCTGAGAAATCGAACAATTTGGTGGTTACATCATGTCAGAAAGTGATAATATTAATACCGAGGTATAAATACAACAACCAGCTAAAAAGTTTCAGTAAATTCAACTGATAAATGGAAATCAAGTTATACCTTCCCATTGTTCTTCTAGAATTTCCTCATGTTTATAAACTGGTTGGGCAGCCCAGACAAAGTACCCTCCAGCCCTTAGCATCCTATTAACTTCAAGCAGTAAAATACCATCTTCACAAGTTAAAAAAAAAAAAGGATGTTAGAGGAGAATTCACCAAAGTAATTTTTTATGAGATTTAAAGCATTCAGAGAAGAGTCCTGCCCCCTTTCCACTAACCAGGCAACCACTATATAAGGTTAAAATTGATATCAAATCTGCATACACGGTAACTAGTTACTAGTTTTCTCAAAAAGAAAAATCTCATGGGGAAGAAGTCAGGGCCCCCAAGAAAAGAGATGCCAATAATAGACTAAACGATCTTTGATGTGATTTTTAATTAATTTAAGGAAGAAAATATGAATATTTACTAGTCACAACAACACAACATATACAGTTATTCTTATCATGAAAAAAAGAAACTCAAAAAACAACTGGGAAAATGAAAGGGAGTGGGAAAACTAAATACAAAATGCACTCCGACTAGCCAATTAACTGTTAGAGATCATACCATCTCGAGTCCAATTAATTCTACAACGTGAACAATGTATCAAGTCAAAAGCTTGACTTGGATATAACAATCGCCTAGTCGCAAATGCAGCCACCATTGCTGGCACACCACGCTCAAGCGCAAACTGGATCTGATTCTCATGAACATCCTTGGGAGCAACAGACATGGTTATGACATTTCGTGACAATAAGTATGCACCAAAACTAGCTACACCGCAGCCAACATCAAGTGCAACTCTTATATTCTGCCCAAACTTAATATCAGGAACCGTCTACAAAACCATGACATATAAACATCAAAATCATAAAAGAAGATGCACCTACACTGTCTGTCCTTAAACGCAAAGCAAGGCATACAATATTTATTTAATAACCTCAGAAATATGATCCAAGTATTGATCTGCTCCATGTATAAATTGTGTACCACCCCCCGGAAACCTAAACTTATCCTTGCCTTTGGAAATCCAGTTTTGACCCCCTTTATCTTCAACAAGTCGAGTGTGAGGAACATTATTGTACCAAACCTACAAGAGAAACACACATACATTAAATTTTGAAATAATTTTTCAAGCACCCGCATCCCACCAATAAAGAATGACAAATAAATTCTTAAATTTAGTCACAAATATGTTTACAGTAGTGCATGACTGGGAACAACTTTTCTTTTAGAAAATAATTCTTTTCTTTTTCAAAAGGTTTAAAAACAAGGGTACATTATATAGACTCAATAAAAAATATCTCTGTACAAACATCCAAAATTGACACATCATGTTAATGAACAAGATGGCATGATAGAGTAGCCAACTGTTATTAAATGTAAGCATAACTTCATGTGTAAATTAAGAATCTAATTACGAGCACTAAAGTGTAGAAAACTTTCACATTGTCATCCTCTTACAAAACACAATTTCACAAACACTCTGTTTACCTTCATAATAATTATTTATTTTGTTGATAAAGTGGCGGTGGAAAACCTTTAACAATGACAGAGTGCATAGAAATTAAAATTTAACTAAAATGCATCCATAATGTAATTTTTTACTACAGATTATAATTGCTTTAACGATGATGATTTATAATTGATTGACACATAACAATTAAACACATAAATTACACTAAAAAAAGAAGTACATCATTAGTATTAGCGGTAGTTAAGATAAAGTGATCCAAACAAAGACTTACTAAATTAGTTCCCAAAGAACGAAATGCATGTTTGGTAAAATACCAGTCATGTTAGGTAATTTTTCACATATCTAGTTTCATGTGAAGGATTAATTTTGGATCCAGAATTGATTCTGAGTTGAAGCACATTTAGATAGTTTTTACACTACATAAAGAATTTGATACTATCGAGTTTTACAAGTCAGTTCAAAATCAATTTTAATCAAAAACAAATTTGCTTATGATAATCAAAAACACATAGGAAGGAAGTTGTTACCTCGTCGCGGCTTCTGGGCCAAGGAATCGGGGGACGGTACCCTTTAGGAGGCGGAATCAAGCAATTGAACCGTTTCCCCTCTTCGGGACAGTGCCTTTCGAATCTTTCTCCTCTCTCCGTGGACTCGAGATTCCGAATCGCATTCTCGTTGTCCAAACACGGTATATGCTCGCTCATGCTGCGCGGGCACATCCCAAACTTGCTCACAGCCACTCTGGGAGCAGAGTCGGAATCCTCGCCGATGAGGCTCACGTTCCCCTCCTCCTCCGGCACGCCGTCCTCGACGTTCCCGACCTCGAACTCATTGGACATGGTGCCATTCTCGTTGAGGATCCCGAAGCGCTTGATCGCTTCCTGAGGCTCCGGAGGGGGGGGAAGTACGGAGGGTTCTGGAGGGGTGTATGCGTCGATTAGGGAGGAGACGTTGAAGACTTGGTTGAAGTTGGGGGATACGGTGATCTCGGCGGAGGTGGCGGTAGTGGTGGCGGAGAAGAAGATGAGCTGGGATGAGGAGCCGTCGGAGAAGTGCTTGCCGACGAAGAAGAAGGTGACGGCGACGAAGATGAAGAAGAATACGATCTTGAGGGCGGTTTTGTGGTAATCGGCATTGGTGACGGTGGAGGGTTTCATGATGGTTGGATTCGCGAACGAAACGAGTTTGGATGAGGTTGAATTGAATGAAGTGAGTGATGCTGCTAATAACAGTAATAACAGTAATAGAGTTCAATAACTGCGGCACTGGAACAAACGGAAGCACCGACGCAGAAGTAAATGACAACTTAGATTTCCATGTTCTGCCACTCCCCACCACAATATGACCTTAGGAAAACGTTAACTTCACAACCTCACCCATCAAACATTTATTAAACAACCTAATTATATATTTATATATTTATTATTATTATTATTATTATTATTATTATTATTATAATGAATTGTAGATTTTATATATAAAATAAACGTTGTGTCAAAATATCAACATCCATTATCTTTTATTACTATTAATTACTTCATTAGAATTTAAATACAACTATGGCACTTACTTTTATATTTTCTTTTTACTTTTTTATTATAAAAAGTGAATTTTAAAAACTTAAGACATATTTTTCTTCATATATCAAAACGTAATTTTCTTGTATAAATTACATAGAAGAGAGAGAATTAATATTAAAATATATTTTTACACAAACTAAAAAAATAATCAAAAAATAAAATAAAACTATAATATTATTAGAAATATAATAAATAAAAAAATACTTTTACATTAAAAAAATCTCACTATTTCCAAACTTTTTTACACTGCATTATTGTTGTTGATTAAAGATGAATTAATTTGTATTAAACCATTTTTTTTTAAATGTCCATAACCATTAAAATTTGAATAATTTATTAAATTATCATATATGAAATTTTATTGATATAAGTTTATATTTAAGTAAGTTACATGAGTTGATTTTGTGAAATTTAACTAATATTTTTCTATTGTAATTTATCACATTATACTCTTTCAATCTATCAACGAACTGTTTGACTTATAAATTTAGAATTTGATTTATTTATTTGTATACTTATATTTTGTTATCCTTTTTTTTTATCTTAAACCTTTTTAAAAAATGCAAAATGATCAAATAAATGTTTTACAACTTGATGTTAGTCCTTGAAAAGTGAAGTTTTTAAGTAACATGATCTTGTAAACAAGTGGTGGATTCAATATCCTCAACATAGTTTCATATATTTTTTCGTAAAGGTGAGTTAAGAGTCTTTTTTAGAATTCATAAGTGGAAAAAATAGTAAACAAATCTCTCAAACACAACTTAAATCATAAATTTGTACATCAATATGATAGTTAAGAGTGAGATTAATATATAAATATAGAAAATAAAAAAAATTAATATATATAATCCTAATTATAAGAGAATGAAGGAGTTAAATTATCTTCCACTACCAATCAAATTTCATCGCAAATCATTATTTCTTTTACATAATTCCTCAAATTCATTCAAGCCCCCATTTGTTTTAAACAAATTGATAACACTGTTGATACGTTTAAGTTTACACTACTTACGATTTCATTGTTAAATAATTAAGAAAGTTAAATGAACAGTCTTTTCACCGTCTTTTTTATTCTTTTTGGATATTTATGTATAATTATTTTCTTTTATTTTTGTACATTAAAAGAATTAAATCTTTTTATTAAATATTTAAAACATTATCCTGATTTTAATCTTTTAATTTCTCTTCATCCTCATCTTTTACAAATAAATGAAATTCAGTAGTGAGTGAGCAAGGGTTAGATTAGAGAAAGTTGATAGAATTAAGTATGTAATCCATTAAATCATTTGATATATACATATAATAGTATTTATTAAAAAAAAAAAAAAAACTAGTATTGATAAAGTACATTGAAGTTAATAAAATTGCATATTTCCCATATCATTATTTGAGCTTGAATGATCTCAAATTAGTTTGATTAGATATAAAAGTTAAAATGTGAAATAAAACTGAATTCAAAGACCAACTATATTATTGTGAGGTAAGAGTGAAGGAGGAGTTAGGCCAAAGAAAAGCACCAATGGCAAAGTCTCTTTTGTAGGCCAAATCACCATGTGTGGGCAAACCATATTCCTTGAGAAGGCGATCAAGCTTCCACTCGGGCATGTTCTGGTAATCTTTCTGAGTGTATCTTGGGTAGTGCAGAGGCATCTGAAAGAACCCAACACTACTCTTTTGCCCACTTTCCATAACTCTTTCTTTTCTTTGAACTTGTTTCTTTTTTTCTAATTACGATTCTTTTATATCTTCAATGCTTTATAGGGAGATTGTTAATAAGTTGATGTCAGGTTCTTTTGGCATGAGGGGTGTCACATGGATGGGTCGGTGTACCCTCTCTCATGCATCAAGTTTTTGGCTTCAATATACTTCATCACATGTGTGTTCGTGTGCATGAATACTAGAAGTCATGTTGTTGGAGGGTATTAAAAAAATGAAAATGGTGTGAAGAGCAAAGAGGGGAGTTCAAATAGCAACCATTCTCCAAGGGATATCATACAGCCCAAATATCAAAGCCCAATTGAATGAATTATTTATTTAATAAAAACTTAATCATTGTTCTACACAAGAGAATGGGTTGAATTTTTCTTTGTACAATGTCTTAGTAATAATAGTGGACATGGAATTCAGTACATGGATGATGGTATTACTGTAAAAAAAATCCCAAGTATGTGAAAGTTCAGGAAATGGTAATTTTTGAATTATTAAAAAAAAAATTACCATAGGAATTATATCGTTTAAAAGTCATAACAAAAATAATATATACCGAAGGGAGAACATTAATTTGAGAAGCGTTAATTTATACAATTTTTTCAGGGATTATAATATATTTTTTAATAAAAATTAAAAGATTTTGTTTTTAGATTATGGTATCTGTCAGTTTCTTAACTCCGCCTTGGATATATTTTCCTAAATAATTTTTATACGTACTTTAAAAAATAAAATTTAAAGCGAAGAATATATTAGAATATAATTTTTTATTATAAATTGCAACTTACAAAAGTACTTTATATAGTTTTTTTTTTCTTGATTTATTTATTTATATTTTAAAAAGACAAATCAAAATATAATAAAATCTGAGTTTTAAAATGCACAATAAGTTCCCAAATAATTTTTTATTACAAATAAAAACTTAATGTAACTTACATTTATGTACTTTCTTATTTGAATAAGTCTAATGGTTAGTTAGTTATATGCCAAAATAATTTCGTCTCTGTTTTTAATTTCGCTTTCTACTATTTTATTTTTAGTTGAAATGTCCCCCATTATCGAACATCATCTCTTCTCTCTCTCTCTCTCTCTATATATATATATATATTTTTTTTTCACGTTGAGGGATCGGGTTATATAGTTATATTAATCTTTAGTTATGCAAATTTGACGTGTTAATGAAACTTAATTTGTACAAAACAAAACAGTAATGATGATTAAATATACATTGAAACTATTTTAAGTGTATGTTAAATAATGGATAACAAATATAGTTAAACATTCAAAATTGATGGAGTATGTAATTAAACAATTAGTGCAAAATTAAGCTTAATTAACACAATTAAATACACACAATTGCAATTAAAAACTGTAGTTAATTTAAATCATTATTATAATAATCTAACTAAAAATTGAAGTATCAACCAATTTAATGAACTAACTAAAAATTGAAGTATCAACCAATTTAATGAACTTACTCATTTTTTGTGTTAATTACACAACTAGTGCACTTAACAGAAATAATGAACAAGGTCATTTCAATTTATTTCATACTCACAAATCAATCAATTTTTCCACCATGACATCCAGGCAGCTCCATTTTTTTTCTCTAATAATTTAATTCTAATATTTTTTGTATTAAAGTAAAATACATGAAAGCTCAATAATCTCGTAAAAGTAAAATGAAAGTCCATTATGAAAATTATATCACTGGCACAAAAAATATAATGATTTTGAATAATATTATGGTACTATATAACAAGAAAATGAAAGTAGAAAAGAAATGAAGGGGACCAATGGTTTGCTTACGCTACTATTATCATCTCCCAGTAGCTCATAAACTTTTCGTCAACATTCACTATTGAGTCTGCATTATTGGCCAACGAAAAATCTTTAGTCATCCTACCTGTGAAATCATGTGTTTTGCTATATTTTTTACCAAACTAAACCTCCAGCGGTGAATATCAAATATAAATACGGAGTTTCAAATACTCTTTATGTTCTTCATGATAAGATATATAGAAGAGCTACTGTTGCTTCCCTAAAAGCAAGATCAACTGTTGGATCCCACTGAACCCAAATGTTTGCCTGATCAATGCAAAATCTTGTTCTTCAGAAGCAAGATATGTTCTCATATTTCCCCAAATCACAGTGAAAAACTTCTAAGACTGTCAAAACTTGGAGCAGAGATGCCGATGGACACTCCTAAAGACGGCAGCAGTGCAGCACATGTTTTCATGAAAATCTCCTTTTCATTTCTATACAGCATTTAAGCATAATGTAAACGCCAGAATCTCATCCTCTTTAAATGATCTATAGCGAGTTTCGTCTGCAAAAGAAAACATCATCAGAAGAACATTAACTGTTCCGTCTGATCACTTATCTGATGAGTCCAACAAAACAAACATGAATATCAAATAACTGAGCTGAGTACCATTTGACCCAATTTTCCTAACATTGTAAACTTCCAATGACACAATCTTTTTAGCTCTGCACAACTCAAAGAGCTACTCAACAACTTTTGGGACATACCCTTCCCGTTTCAGCTCCTCATAGAGCAAATACATTATGTTACTTGTATCTATAGAGTCAAGGCATAAGCCATCACCAGCATGAAATTCATGCAAGTGATTATCAATTTCAATCCAGCTACAACCAGGAGTTTTAGCAATACCCTTCTGTCTCATCAACAATCTCATCCTTGCAGAATCTTCCCACATGTTTAGATTTGCATATATTTTTGATGAGATAATATAGTTCCCTGAATTTGAAGGATCCACCTCCAGAATCATCTGCATAACCCGTTCCCCTATATCTACATTTTTATTCCTTCGACAGGCACCAAGCAAAGCACCTAATGTAACCTTGTCTGGTTTTTCGGGCATTTTCTCAATTAGATCCCATGCTTCATATAAATGACCTGCACGTGCCAAAAGATCGACCATACAAGAGTAATGCTCAATTTTTGGTACCAATCTGAACAATGTGCTCATCATATCAAACAATCTATAGCCCTCAGCTACCAGGCCTGCATGCACACAAGCAGAAAGCAACCCTACAAATGTTATATCATTAGGACGGGCACCTCCACCTTCATCTGACATGCGCTGAAATAGTAATAGTGCCTCCTTGGCTTTTCCATGAGAAGCAAGTGCAGAGATCATTGCATTCCAAGAAGCTTCATTTTTTTGAGGCATTTCTTTGAAAACTCTCTGTGCACTTTCTAAACTCCCACATTTAGCATACATATCAATTAACGCAGTAGCAACAAAAATATCATGATGAAATCCTCTTTGTGATGCATATTCATCAATCTGTTTCCCCAGATCAAGAGCGCCGATGGTGGCACATGCAGAGAGCACTGCAGTCAGGGTAATTTTATTTGCCTTAACACTGTCCTCCTTCATAGCATGGAATAAAGAGATCGCTTCGTCCGCCATCCCATTCTGAGCATATCTGTCATGTATGTGAAAGTCACACAATAAGTCAAAAAAAAGTTTGTAGAAAAACCAAGATAGATCCATAACTACAGAAGTGATTGCAACATGTACCTTGAAAGTATGGATACGATACAACAAGTAATGTGGAAACAGCATAACATGGATATGGATATAATTTATCTAATTATTGTATTATTCACATCAATTTTGTTATTAAACATTAAAAATAGAAGTAAAAAAACAAGTAAAATGCAACCAGGAGCATTCAAATTGTCCATGTCTCCATGAAGTATTTGAGATGACACAGACACTATTTTGAAGGGTCTGCGCTCCTTTGACACGAACAAAGCATGCTCGACCAAACCTACGACTAACCCAACACTACTATACATCCTTACACATAATGATCTTCATACAAGCCAAAAGATAAAACCAAATTAGTTAGGGTCTATTTGGATAATTTCTCTATAAATATTTATAAGAGAAAATTGAACAAAAATAAATAAATTAAGTTTCTCCAAAAATTAGTTAATTTGTATAATTTTTTTTTATATTAACTTTTCCAAAAATTGTTTTTTCACTTATCCCAAACTAATTTTAGCTTATAAAGAAATTTATTTCATTTTCATTCTTATTTTCTTCTGTTGTAGGTACTTATCCAAACAGAACCTTAATCTCTAGAAAGAGTTTGAACAGCAAACTCGCTCACCCTGATATAACAGCATTCCACGTGATAACATCTCTTGCAGCCATGCTATCAAAGATCTTTCTAGCAGACCCCAAATCCCCACACTTAGCATACATACTAATCAAAGCAGAACCTACAAACGAGTTAAGAGCCAAGCCATGTTCCACAACAAACCCCTCTACCCACCTTCCCAACTTCAAATCCCCCAGCTCCCCACAAGCCCCAAGCACACTCACCAGACTCATCTCATCCGGCTCAAACCCGTCCCGCCTCCCCATCTCCCCAAATACCTCCACAGCCTCCCTGGCACAGCCCGCCTTGGCATAACCAGCAATCATAGAGTTCCAGGACACCAAGTCCCGGTGGGGAATTTCATCAAACACCTTTCGCGCACACGCGGGGTGGCCACACCGCGAGTATGTGGTGATGAGGGAGTGAGCGGTGTGGGGGTCGGAGTGAAGGCCAATTTTGAAAAGAAGTGAATGGGCAACGCGGGCGTGGGAAATTTCAGCGAGGTTGGCGCAGGAAAGGAAGAAAAAGGGGAAGGTGAATTTGTTGGGGATGAGGGAGAGGGACTTCATGCGGTAGAAGAGGTTGAGGGCGAGAGGGTAGTCGTGCCAGGTAGTGGTGAGGGCGCGGATCATTATGTTGAAGGCGTAGTCGTTGGGGTGGGGAGCGATGTGGGAAAAGAGAATAGAAGCGTAGGGGAAGTTTTTGAGGTGTATGGCTCTGGAGAGAAGGTGGTTGTGGTGGTTGTGAATGGAGTTCACCACCATTTGGGTGTGAAGCTGCTGGAGCGTCTTGGTCGACGAACATTGCTTCGCCAGGAACACTAGAGATTCCGCTGTGTGGTAACACTTGCCACCGTTGCCGCCAACTGCTACATTTTCGAACGCTGCAAGCATCCTCAGCTACCTCACTCGATAGTCACGTCACGGTGTTAGTTAATAATACCGCTGTTTATGTGTACTTGGTTAAAAGTCAAACAATTTACGTTGATTATGTTAAGTTTTTTCACTTTCTTAATTTTTTGTTTTCGTTTAGTTTTATTATTATCACCCACGTCACCACCCTTATTTAATATAATTTTCAAGAAATTGTTTTCTAATATTAAACAAATAGGCTTTTAATCAATGAGGAAGCCTCCGACGGCTCAAACTTAATGGGCCCGAATCTGGTACTTCACTATTACCATGCTCTTTCCAATGGTACAAAATATGCCGTTGTCGAGAGGCCCAAAATTGAAACGTGAAATCAACACGTGAAGGGGGCCATGATTGATTGCAACTTCACGAGATTGTTCTTGATAAACGACGTTGAGGCAGTTAACCACCTCTTGTCATGGGTCCGACCGCAGCTAATTATTAGCAAACCAATCTTAACCACATGCTTGTTTTCTACGCTGTGGGGCCTGGTCTATTTTATTATATTATTGGAGAGACTTTTGAAGACACAACACAATCATGTTAAAATGGTAACATATTAACCATTCGCACTTTAAACAGAATTATTGTTCTAAGATTTTTTTAAAAATCATTTTATTAATTTATAAGTATGTTGAATTAATTATTTTATAAAAAAATCATTTAATTTATTTGTAACGTATTTTTTAATACTTTAATTGTTTACCTTACTATATATTTCTAATAATGTTTATTAAAAAATACATTTTCATTGAACTTAATAATTACAGGGATGGACTAATCTTGTCTATTCGGGGCCACTTCGTGTTGCTAGGTGGCTTGTTTAGGGCTCAAATACTAAGCATTTTTGCATTATGGTTTCATAAGAATGTACTCTAATAATTTATATATATTTATATTGCCCACTGATTTTAGAAAATTATAATCATTTTATTAAAAAAACTTATTTAATCATTTTATTAGTTAATCATGTAAAAAATTATAACATCAGCATACAACAAATTAAATCATTAAATAAGACAGAAGAAAATCTTATGGGGTTGAACAAACACCCTTAGTCTTGAAAGAGACAACTGTCGTACCTAACTTTCCATTATTCGTGTAGTTCTACATAATACTGTTGCATTAATTTATGTTTTCCCTGATACAGAGGTACTCCATAAGAATTTGAGGATCTTTCTGTTGTTCTGCTTTAGTACGACACATGTCCATGTTGGCGTAATCAGGGTAGTTAGGTGATTTGGCTGAACAAACCGACTTTGTAATGAAGCACCCAAAGAATAGGCCAAAAGTTAGAAATGATTTCTCTCAAGATATTGAAAGTCATTTGGGAAATAAATGATTCAAAATAATGAAAGATACATATTAATAGCAAAACAAATTTTGGAAAGTGACAACACTGTAAGAGCAAATGAAGAATAACACAATTCATATTCATGTATTGAAATGACTGATTTAAACCCAAGTTTTAAACATTTTTCACTGACGAACCAGAAGAGAAAAAATAAAATAAAATGAGACGTAGATTACACATACTTTTCTAGTAATAAGTTTTAAAACATTAATAGGATGAATGAAAGGTTCATACAGGGTTATCCTCGAGCGTGCACCTGTATGGCAGCTTGGTGAGACATGAGTTCTGATTCTGGAAATTGTTGGTTTGCAAATTAAAATCTGGACGGATCTCTGACAAAATCTTGGTGATAGAGAGTTTTGGAGGATACACTCCTAAAATATTCAGAAGTGTGGTCACCATTGACACTGTGTATGCACAGAAAATTTAAAGTGCACAGTGGAAAAAAAGGAAAATTTGAGGGAGTAAAGGGAAAGCTAACATGCAAAAGGAAAGAGAAAAGGACAAGAAAAAAACGAAATTTAGTTTGATATAATAGAAAGGGCATGTTGTCTTTTTTTTTTCTTTTTTTTATTCTTATTCTTTAAATTTATTTATGAAAACATGTGGGACAGGGAATAGAAATTACCAAAATTACAAAACTAGTTTATTCTACCTTATTTCATCTCATTTAATAAATATATTATAAATAAAAATGAAACTAGAAAATTTATTATTGTAATTTCTAAAGTGATAAATTATTTATGTCAATTTTAACATAAAATTTAAAAGTCAGTATTTTTGCTTTAAGAAAAGTTAAGAACACCTTATTAAGTATTCCATTACAAACTCATATATGATTATTATAATTTAAAAACCTTTTTTTTTCTTAAAAAAATAATAAACAAACCCGTCGTGTAGTCTTTCAAATTTTGTATCTATCTAAAATGGTCACCACAAACACAACCATTCATTTATTGCTAAAAATTTATACATTGAGGTTATAATATTTTTTCATTAAATTAAAAATGTCTGATTTATTAAAAAAAAATGCATTCAAGTTCACAAAACTTTTTAAAAGAAAAAAAAAAAAAAGTTCGAGTACATGCAAGTCTACAACCTTGGACAAACACTATGATCAACTAAAAGTTTTATGATATTTTATGTTTAAGAAAAAATAAGTAAAATAGTAAAATGATTTTATAAATATCAGAGGCAAAATGATATAAATATTTCTAATAATAAAAGAGTAAAATATATGCATATATAAAATTAAATGTACACTAAACACAAAATAAACTTAGTTGCAGAAAATGCCATGCGGAAATGTAATGATTGGAGTTTTCACGTAGAGGTAACACGTGGCGACGAATGGAGAGAACACGGTAACATACCAGACTCGTGACCTTCCAGAAACTTCGGCGAAACTCGTGGCTAGAAATGGAGGAGGCATCTAGCGGCCAGCACGAGGCCACGTGGCTACCGAACCACGTGGGCATCCGACGTGGCACCCTCATTCCGCTGAAAATGATTCGTTCATTTTATACGTTGCTCACTCCGAAGAAACAAATGCAGACACGAACAAAAGCTGTTTCTGTTTCTCTCTTTAACTAGAAGAAACCGCTAGAAAATAAAAAGCAGAAGAAGGAGTGAGAGTATTTGCATTGTTGACTCTTTTGGTAGTGGGAATTTGAGATTGTGGGAATGGGCATGAAAAATGGCGAGGGAAGTGAAGGAGGGGCATTGCAGAGGGTGCTTTACATGTGGGGTTACCTTCCCGGAGCTCTTCCGCAGAGGACGCCGCTGTTGACTCCCGTCGCCGCCAGGTTTCCGCCGAATAGTTACTCTTGGAATGATGTTTGCGGCGGTGGTTGTGGATTCGCTATTGCTATCTCTGGTGCCTTAACTTTTCATTTCTTTAATTACCTTTTGTTTCCTCCAATATTGGTTTGGATATGAAAATTAAGCAGGTTCGGGGGAAATTGTTGAGCTCTGTTGATGGAAGATTGGAGCAGAAACTCAATTTAGTTTAACGGCTTGAGCTTCATTTATTTTATTCTCACTGGGGCGTTTTTGCTCTCTATCTTTATCATGGGGGTCTGAGTGAACTGTGGTTTTGTATTTTTATTTTTTTTTATAGTTTTATTGAATAAAGTATTGATATTTTGAACTTTGATGGGGTCTTATATTGTTCAGTTGGTCAAATATGGTCAAACACTCAAATCTAAGGAGATGGATTTTAGGAGGTTGTTTGGAATTTTGTGAGGCTTTCATTGCTGTTTTACTTGAGACAATTTATTGTTAGTACCAATCTCTTGCCCCTCATTCGCGTGGAATGTGTTGTTGTTCTTCCTTGTGTTGTAAATAATTTAGCGGTTGTATTTGGGGTTATGGCCTGCCTATCCTGTATTAGTTTCTTTTTGCCATTTTATCTGTATAAAGGATTCATCATTACTCACGTGTTCTTCCTTAATTAGAATCAGGGAAGCTCATCACGTGGGGCTCGACAGATGATTTAGGCCAAAGCTATGTGACTTCTGGCAAGCACGGGGTAATGCATAACTATTTATCGAATAGTTTGATCTTGATGTCTGTTTTTTATTATCTCTTTTTTCTTTGCCAACAAACTAATATTTTTTATTTATTTGTAAAGGAAACTCCAGAGCCTTTCCCTCTTCCAACTGAAGCCTCTATAGTAAAAGCTGCAGCAGGGTGGGCTCATTGTGTTGCTGTAACAGGTAAGGTGGATTTTCTTACCTTTTCGGCCTGAGAGAAAGAGAAGTAGAAGAAGAAGAAGAAGAAGAATAAATGAGATTATGAGAGTGAAAGGAGAAGACTAAACTAAAACCTTTAGTTTTGGTTTTCTAAAAGGCTTTTCATGTATCTACTTAGACACATCCAAAATGATTTCAACAATATCAGCCAATTGGAAAAGAGTTTTTTGTCTTGTCTGTTAGGCAATGTTTTCTACAAATATGTTTTGCATTTCCTTTACAGAACATGGAGAAGTTTATACATGGGGATGGAAAGAATGTATTCCCTCTGGGAGGGTATTTGGTGAATCATCCACAGGGGTAAGTGTTGAAAAGGATGTGCAAGGAATGCATAGTCAATTATCGGCAGAGCAAGGTATGTTTGAGCTCTTTACAACAACAGCTTAGGTAGAGCTAGCTGTCCCTCCCAAGGAGTGGTCTAAGCAAGCCAAGGTGCTCCAAAAAGGAGTGGGGGATATATGATAGAATCTTGCAACCCAAAAAGAAAGAAGGAAAATAAAGTTTTATCGTTTACCCCTCTATGATGAACCCTCATTCCCCACCTGGATGTACTGCATCCAGTTATCCCTCCCTGGGGGGACCATGTTATCAGTGACTGATGTAGAGTTGTTTTGCAATAGTAAGCCCTCGTTCTCAAGGCTCAAGATCTACTGGAGGTACTGCCTCCGGTAAAAGTGCAGAAGATAATACAAAGCGAAGGAGAGTATCTACAGCAAAGCAAACGGCTGAAAGCTCGTCATCCAGTGATGATAGTCTGACAGCATATCCATGTCTTGTCACACTAAATCCAGGGATAAGGATAGCTAGTGCTGCTGCTGGTGGACGCCATACTCTAGCATTGTCAGGTACAGGACCTTGTTATGGACTAAATTTAAACCTAAGTCTAATTATTTATTTATGTTATATAGTATTCCCATTGCGTAGCATGGTTTGATTGAAGCATCTTTGATGTCTAAGATTTATCATTGATTTCGGTTTTAAGAGAGTTTCAGATACAGGACTGGTGTGGGCTTGGGGCTATGGAGGTGAAGGGCAGCTTGGCTTGGGTTCAAGAATACGTGTGGTAGCCTCTCCTCATCTTGTTCCATGTATTGATTCCTCTTATTATGGTAAAGATAGATCTGCTACACTGGCCCGAGGAAGCATGGGTTCAGAGGGACAAAGTGTTAGAGTTCCAGGAAGTTACATAAAGAGAATTGCATGTGGAGGTCGACACAGTGCAGTAATTACAGGTATAGGTGTCAGTCTATTCAGCAACTGAACTGGACTTCCTGCATCTTACTTACTTTGAAGAACCTAAAGTGAAAATATCTATATGCTTTGTTAATGTTGTAACTTTCCTACTGGAGTCAATTTCCTTCTTAACCGTGTTTAGAAGAAGAAAACTAGTTTCTTAATGAATGAAATAGACTGATTGGGAATTGTATGATTTGAGAAGGAGAAATAATACCTTAATAAAAGATCCAAAATCTTGTGAAAATATGGATCTATGAATAGTGTTGTCTTTCCGGATACTAGATTACGAGTTAATATTTACTAGTATAGAAACTTGCTTCGTAAGCTTATTTCTTTCCAAAAATTCTTCGGCGTTATCTTTGGTAAATTCGTATGTACTAAAATTGGAATATCTATATTTTGAGTTGACAGATGCTGGAGCCATGCTTACTTTTGGTTGGGGACTCTATGGACAGGTAAAGTTTAAAGTGAACTGGGATATTATTTTTAGCTACTGTGAGTTCATATTCTATCATGGCTTCTTAACTAAGGTTGGTGGGTATGTTAGCAGATCAAACTTGCAGAGTTTTTTCCTTAAATTTTGTCTGTGTTTATTGCAAATAAAACTTTCTGATGTGTGCAAGCCGGTAGTCTGCTAGCATGGTTCCTAAAATTAGAAAATCCCATTCTGATGCAGTATTCTTGTCAGCGACTGAACTTAAACCCTCTCTCGTCCAGCACTGTTTTTGCCATTAATTTATTTTGATGAGAAATCCATTTTGCTTCTTCATCGGCCATTTTATCATTCAGATCTTATCAGATAATAGTGTGATCCCATGATAATGAGAAGCACCCCATGCTCAGAATTTCCTCAGTTTGCATGTCATGTCACATATCACCAACATCCTGTTGTTTATTTTGCAATCTAATACTTCCTTGGTACTGGGAAAAATGTGAAGTGCAAGGTATACTTAATTAGATTTATGCTTTGACTTCCTGAGATTGTGGGAGTATTATCATACACATGAATCCAGCTGAATTATGTGATACTCAGTTGAAATATATCATCTGCAGTACTGTTTGGATACTATCATCCCTTTGACCATTCTTAAGGGTGAATCTGTAGGTAAAGTAGAATATGGTGGACAAAAGCAAGTAGATGTTGAAGATGTGGTTCACTCTAACAAGGGATTATTTATTCTATTTCTTTAAAATATTTTATCTTTCTTGTCACCTGTTTGTCAAAGCATGCTTAAGCTCATTATACTCTGTTCATGTCATCTTGTTTTGGTCAAGTGTGGGCAAGGAACTACTGATGATGAACTAAGCCCAACTTGTGTATCTTCCTTATTGGGTATCCACATAGAGGGAGTTGCTGCAGGACTCTGGCATACGGTCTGTACATCTGCTGATGGTGATGTGTATGCATTTGGTGGGAATCAGTTTGGGCAGCTAGGAACAGGTGCTGATCAAGCTGAGGTATGCAATAATTTGTATCATCCCATAGACTCCCCACTCAGTTTGTCGCTAAAACTTAGCATGATTACCTTATTGTATTAACCATCTACATCAGTGTGCTGTGAGTGTACATTCATCATAAATATTGATGTCACTGAAAGACCTGCTAAGCATGTGATATTATTTGACAATTCTATTAGTTGAGGCAACCTGTGATTTCAGTTTTTTAAGTATTAACTTCAATTTTGAAACAGACTCTACCAAGATTAGTGGATTCTCCGAGTTTGGAAAATATGCATGCAAAGAATGTATCATGTGGTGCTCGTCACACTGCTTTAGTAACAGGTATACCATTCTATTGGGGGACCTGCTTATGTCATTATAATAGCTGTCTAGTCAGAGTTAGGCTTCCATTATTGAAGTTATTTAACACATCTCTAGACACTATAAATCTGAATATCTGTTTGAAATATTTGAAGTAGATAAGCATGAAGCACTTAAAATTTCCCCAAAGTTGAATAACCTGTTGCCAAGACAACTGGGAAGAAAATTGTGGAAAAAAATTGGCTTTAGCATATTTATTTTGTCAACAATGTGGGATGTCGGTTCTACTGTGAAGAGTTTAATGTAAAAAGACTCTTTAATTATGTAATGTCCATAATGTTGCTAGTCAAACTGAACAATCTAGGAGAGGGTTTGTTATTATTAATGGGTTAAATATAGTCTCTGTTTTAGTCAAGTACCTTACTGCTTTTACTTTTACTTTTGCAGTAGTTATCAGGGCCTTATGCACAACTAGTGTTTTAATTTTTTATTTTATTGGTAATAAAAAACATACATATTTAAATCAGTATGTGTATTCTTAATAGATTCAATTAGTTTACTCTCTTTTGTTTATGTTCTTCAAGAGCGGGGAAGAGTCTTCTGCTGGGGATGGAACAAATATGGACAGGTGATTATATCACACTACCTTTTTCATATGTATACATCTTTTTATTTCATGTTTTAACAAGTAACACTTTTGGAGTTTATCCCTCACCACATTTATTTTAAGTATAGACTTGTGCCGGTATTAGTAACATTCATGTTGTGGAATCATTCGGTTCTAAGTTGTGATTTCTGGGTGTGACAGCTGGGCCTTGGGGACGTGATTGACCGTAACATTCCTTCTGAAGTCACCATTGAAGGTTGTGTTCCTAAAAATGTTGCTTGTGGTTGGTGGCACACGCTTCTTCTGGCCGAGTCCCCCACTTGATGTCATGGTTTATCAGAGGCTCTTGATCAAATTTTGTTAGTTAGCGGTTCATTTGAAAGGCAATAGTATATGTACATACAGTAGTGATATACATATGCATACACATGTGTGTTGTTTCATGGTGTGTGATTTGTGAATAACCATGACTAGCTCTAGTCTTCAACACCATATCTGGCTTGGAAGGAAGTATTGGATCCTTTCCACCTATGTAACATTCTTAACCATTCTGTATATTTTATTTATTGTATAGACTATTATAGCATGCAACTGTTGGGTAGGTGTAAATGTAATCCTTTAAATCAATATATATATAACCCTATTTCACCCAACTCAACTTTCTTTCTTTTAGTTATGGATTATTGGCTTCATACTGGTTTTACCAAATCTCTTTTTTCCTTAGAATAATGGAATCAAAATCAAATATTCCACATTGACGTTATATTGACAAATTAACGTTTTTTTTTTTTTTTCCTTTTTTGGCATGAACACTTCCAACTTCTGTGCCCCTCCAAGATTGATAAGGACCACAGAAAGAGTGAAAGACCATCCTTGGTAAGGACTTCCTCTGCCATCAATTTGGGCCAGTAGGTTTTTTCTGAACCAAAATAAAACAGGCATTTTCTTTCATGTAGCAAAAATAAGATGTAACATAAGGATTTTTTTTTTCTTTGACGAAAGTAAGGTTATATTTCCAATTTCATATAGAGGTGTTATTATTATTATTATTATTATTATTATTATTATTATTATTATTATTATTATTATTGTTCATTTTGGTTGAAAACAAAACATAGCAATTAGGAATTTTTCCATGAAAGCGAAGCTTGGCCTAATAGTCAATTAGTTCTCATATAACATGCTCTCGGATCCATATTTCTGGTACTTCTCCAACTTCACAGTCAATGGCTTTAATAAGGCTACCTTAGACCATTAATTGGGCTTTCACTATCATATTCATCGTTTGAGAGTTATAGATGATATGATATGATGTAGATTATGAAATCAAAATTATGGTTCCAATGTGCAACTGGTCACTAACCACCGATCAACACTGAACTGATAATAATAGTTTGAAAGTGGAACTATCTATTTGTGGAGACCATAACAAATTGCGTAGCCAAATAAACTGCCCTAAATACTGAGTATATGTTCCACCTTCCCTTTTAGGTTGATAGAACTTAGCAGTTATGGCATATTCCCATCATTAATTCAACCTAGTATTTATGCTAATCTTATGGCTTACTTCACACAGGATCTTGATCTTGCTACACACTACTTTTAGTAATTAATTGCCTCTTAATCAAAATCAAGTAGGTGAGGTAGCTAGTATCAAACTAACTTTTGTTGGATAGTGTCTGTCAAAGTGTCAAAACCTGTTCTTTCACATAAGTATATACAAAAAACTTGTTAATAAATGTTCTTAAAAGCATTTATTAACATTGCGATCGGATTCTCTCTCTCTCTCTCTCTCTCTCTCTCTCTCTCTCATATATATATATATATATATATATATATATATATATTAATCGTGTGTTTTTTGGAAACAATACTATTAGGCAGAAAGAATATTTAGTAGGAAAACTCCCACTTTGAAAATAAACATCTAGCTAAGTTGGTGAAAAAAAAAAAAAATTCTATTTTGGTCTTAAGAATTAAGTTGGTATATAATGTTTAAACATACAGTTGTTTGTCATGTCATAGCAATTTTTTCGAAAAATGTAAGTAGAAAGATTTATTGTAATATGAACAACAATAATTTTCTTTAGACATGATATGCAATGTTTTTATTTGTTTGGGATAAAAGGCTTAGAAGAAGGGACATTAATTTATTTATGACGTTGGAGTTATACAACATCAAGCAAGTGGTGTGTCCAATTTTGGAAGTGAATGCCCTGGCCCTAAACTCATTGCTGGCATATGGGCCAAGTTACTTATTAGAATAATAAAAGTGTTGCCTTTCTAACCAAGCATTTTAATAGTACTCCATGCCACCTTATCTGCCACAAATCTAGGTTGGAAGCTTTAATAGAAACTTTTATATTCATTTCTCGTTCTCGATATCAGGTTTTTTAAGTGATGTTAAATTTGCACATCAAGTATTGATTTTTAATACTCTAAAATTGTTTTCATATTTCTTCATCCATATCGCACTTATATTAATAAAGAGCAACATGACCAGATCTAAGACTTATTATAATGTCAAAGGAAATTCAAAATTCAACACGTTTAGTTAGTCATTGCCTACAAAATCATCCCTTTCGAGAATTTGACTCCAATTAAGGAAAACTTTAAATAACACAAAGCAGATTAAAATAAATTACGTGTCTTACATTGTCACCATCCTCAATGTTCTAATTCTTAACTCACTATAATTATTCAAAGATCCATGCCAAAATACTTTATTTGAATCAACACCAAAATATAACTTAACATATGTAAATATATATATATATATATATATATATATATATATATAATCAATATTTTTCTGAAACTATTAAATGTTTTATAGTAGTAGAATTTACCAACTTCACTATATTTGCTTATTCAATAGTAAAATAAAAGTAAAGAAATAACAAGCAAACTTTTAACTATAAACTTTTTTGTCAATGAACTAGACCACAAGAAATGTCATACCAAGGTGGGCAAGTATAAGATATATTAATAAAACTATATTCTAACATAATAAATAAATTTGAATCTTTAGACATGTTCTTAAAATTGTTGAAGAAAAATGTTTTTAAGAGTTGTTATCAAGCAAGAACGTTGGATAAATTGTTCTCACGCTATGCAAATCTATAGTAGTAGTCTTGTGTGTATATATGAAGATACATACTACTGATATAGGACATTTGACTCAACAAGATTGAAAATAACTATTTTAAAACAATATTATATATTAATAATTTTATTTCATTTTTATTGTTTAAAACATAATTTTAATTTTATTTAATAATTAGCTACAAATATTTCAATCTCAACCATGTCAAAAAATTATCATTCTGTCTTTATTCATATATTTAATTTTCTTAACTATATATCTCTTCTAATTTATTATTTTCGCATTATTTCTAAATTGATTTCAATCATTTTCAAGTGATTTTCCGTAACTAAAAGCAATCCTATAGTGTAATAAAAATGGTTTATCATAATTCTAAAACATACATTTGTTTATTAATTTTTTTAATAAAAATATAGTTTATATATAAAAAATAAATTATTATGCAATTTACTTTTATTGAAAAATGTTGTAGTAATTAAAATTATAGCTTTAATGTAAAATTGAAAGGAAGGCTCCTCTTTGTGTACTAAGCACCAACCTTGCCCTAGTAGAAGAAACCAATTATAGTGCATATAATATTTTGGGGTAATTGAAAACATATCTTATGAAAAAAAAAAACTGATTTTGTATTTATGAAACATGGATATATTTTCTTAAGAAAAAAAAAAAAAAGAAATGTAGAGAATCTAACAGGAATATGCCATTATTGGGCACACAAGTCTACAGCAATGATTGGGAAATGTCAATTGTGAATTTTTTTCATGCCCATGGTTGAGTAATTGATAACATAACGACAGTTACCAACTATTACTCTTGTATGAAAAGTATAATAATAATAAAAAAAAAAATCATGATTAAATAACAGTGTGAAATTATTTTAGGATGGAAATGTTTTATTGACTTGAATACTTACTATTACGTCCTAAAAGTAATCTACCGTGGAACTATTTTATGAAATGACATATGATAATATTATATTAATCAATTTTTTTATTTAAAAATATACGATGTTTTAATAAAAAAATATTTTTACTTATAGGTGATTTATAAAATTTAAAATTATATTAACTATCAATTATATATTTATTTTTTAATTATTTTTATTAAAAGTTAATAAGTTATTAAAAATAATCTTAAATAAAAATAATCAAAATGATAAAGATATTAATAAAAATATTAAATAAAAATATTTATTATTTTACAACCGGATGGAAATTGAAACAATAAGGGAAAGGAAATTTCATGACATAGTACAACCATAATTATAGAAATGAACAAATGGGTGAAGAAGGCACAAACTTTGGTAGCATGTAAAGTAGAAAAATGATAAGTAACACCTCAGAATTAATAAGATTCAGTTAAGACAAAAACAGAACAAGTGGCCAAATTCCGAAACAACGGAGCAAGCCACCGACACCCAAGAAAAAGGAAACTCCATGCCCATAGTTTTATATATATATATATATATATATATATATATATATATATATATATAATTATTTTAAAAATGTAGTCAAATACTTATTTCTGATATACACTTTTCATCAGTTAAGAGCTGTTAAAAAAATAACGTATAAATCTTATATTAATCTTAACCAATCACATGATACTAATGAGAAATTTGTTGATTTTTATAATAACTATTTATGTTTGGGTTACCTTGTGTAATAAAAATAAATGTTAAAAAAGAAGAAGTGATAAATAAGAAAGAGTAGTTATACGCGTGCGTGTGGGTGTTATATAAAGAGGAACATCGAAGAGAAGCAGGTGGGGGTTCTTCTTCTGTTAATTCATCATAGTTGAGGATTTCGACTCGCCGCGTTGACTCGGTCTGGGTTGGAGTCGACTCAGTTCGCTTTTTCATTCTCGCGGATCTAAAGGTATCTCTCGTCATGCCAATGCCATTGCCGTTTGCTCTGTCTAATTAATCAATGCATGTTTTTCCCGAATTCCGATTGTTTGCGTTTATGCGCGCCATTTGTTTTTTTTTTTTTTTTTTCTTTGTTTTGAATTTTTCTCTGACTTTGATTTCAGTTAGATGTATCAGTGTGCTCCTCAGATCTGGTGCTGCTGTGTGTTGTAGAAGTCCCTGCTCTCTCTGTAGCTGTTTTTCATTTTTTTTTCTTTTGTTTTGTGTTTAATTGATTTGTCTATTCAGCAATCTTACTTGAATTTTCATGAATTTGTGAAATTTCTGACTGAACCTGATATGGAGGAATTAAATTATATGTAATAAGAAATTTACTCTAATTCGGAAGAGCCAGCGTTTTCCCTCTGCAAAGACCTTGGGTAAACTACTCGGGTAGCTAATATATGTCAGGCGATACTACTTGTTCTGTCCAATTCATGTAACCTCATTGCATCCCTTGTTTCATTTATATTTGGTTATAAATGTTTGACAGAGTAGCCTATGTGGATTGTAGATAGCCAACCCATTATTCCTACCTGGAGTGTTTTTGGATCTCGCGTGCTAAACTAATGCAATGTTTTTACTTCAAGGTTTCTCTCGTGGATTTTTATTTTTTAATAAGAATCCACGTATGGAAATTTCTCCGTTTGAAAGAAGGAAACGGTCGCATATTTTAACTGCACATAGATTACCAACTATTTTGCCATGCACAGTGATTCGTGTTGTATTTGATACCCATCTGTGAAGAAGCCTGTATCGAACTTCAATTATTTTGTCTTTCTAATTGAAAAATTGAGCTGTATTTTGTGGTTCTTTTCATGTATGACTAAAACATTGTGTTTTTACTTTCAAGTTCTAGCTTATGCTTCGCTTATTGACACATAAATGGATCCATTTCACCCTCAATGGGATTAGTTGTCAGTCCAGGCTTACTTATTTCTAGTTGTTCATTTAGGTGTTTGTGCTAGCTCTTCTTTCCTTCCTGGCATCGGTACTGACAGAACAGAGTTGAATTTATCTGCTCATATTTTAGATAACATTTTCTATTTGCTTATTTTGTTATGTTATTAATTTATAAATTTACAGGAAAGTAAAGGGGACATCAAAATGAAGGCATTGATTCTGGTTGGGGGATTTGGAACAAGGTTGAGGCCACTGACACTCAGTTTCCCTAAGCCTCTTGTTGATTTTGCCAACAAGCCTATGATTTTACATCAGGTAAAGCTGATTTAAGCCTTTTTTTTGTAGAAGGTTTGCATCTGTTGTTCATGGAAATGAATTAGGGGTTCACTTTCTTGTAGAATTTTTTTTTCCATGGAACATTTGATGCCCTCCCTTCTATATAACAGAGATCTATTAAGCATATGAGGAAAAGAAAAATCTTATTTATCCTAGATATATTATAGCAAAAGCCAAGTTTTAGTGTGTGCATACATACAGCATGAGTATGCATTACATGTATCCTGTATGTCTTTTTCCCTTATGTGATATAATTGAGTATCCTACTTTTAATTTGGCTTGTTTTTCAGATAGAGGCCCTTAAGGCCATTGGAGTTACTGAGGTGGTGCTAGCAATCAATTACCAACCAGAGGTAAATCTGTCTCTCCTTACAACAATGTTTTAGTCAATGCTTCAGGAGACGTATGGGGCTAAAGTTGATTATTTTTTACTTTGGTTTAATACTTCCTACTGCAGGTTATGTTAAATTTTTTGAAGGATTTTGAAACAAAGCTTGGCATCAAGATCACATGTTCTCAAGAAACTGAACCACTAGGAACAGCGGGACCCCTGGCTCTTGCTAGGGATAAGCTGATAGATGACTCAGGAGAGCCCTTTTTTGTTCTCAACAGTGATGTTATCAGCGAGTATCCACTTAAGGAAATGATTGAATTCCATAAAGGCCACGGAGGAGAGGCTTCCATAATGGTAACAAAGGTAACTGATTTAACAATAAAAAGTCCCATTTTTGACATGTGAGATTGTACATTTCAAATTGGAGAATCCAACGTCATATTTCCTTCCATCTACTTGTGCAGGTTGACGAGCCATCAAAATACGGTGTGGTTGTGATGGAAGATAGCACAGGGAAGGTTGATAAATTTGTCGAGAAACCGAAATTGTTTGTTGGCAACAAAATCAATGCTGGAATTTACCTGCTGAACCCCTCTGTTTTGGACCGAATTGAACTGAGGCCCACTTCTATCGAGAAAGAGGTGTTTCCAAAGATTGCTGCAGAGAAAAAGCTATTTGCAATGGTCCTTCCAGGATTCTGGATGGACATTGGACAGCCAAGGGATTATATTTCTGGTCTGAGGCTTTACCTGGACTCGTTGAGGAAGAAGTCATCTTCTAAGTTGGCCAGTGGCTCTCAAATTGTGGGGAATGTCATTGTGGATGAGACAGCTAAAATTGGCGAGGGATGTCTCATTGGACCTGATGTTGCTATTGGTCCTGGCTGCATTATTGAGCAAGGTGTTAGACTAAAAAGCTGCACAATAATGCGAGGAGTCAGGGTTAAGAAGCATGCTTGTGTCTCCAGCAGTATTATTGGGTGGCATTCCACTGTTGGTCAATGGGCCCGAGTGGATAATATGACCATCCTCGGAGAAGATGTCCATGTATGTGATGAAATTTACAGCAATGGTGGTGTGGTTTTACCGCACAAAGAAATCAAGTCCAACATACTGAAGCCAGAGATTGTCATGTGAGTCAGTAGGTCAATGATGTTCCAATTGGTAAGCATGTGGTGCGAGGAGATAGCAAATTATTGAGTCTGAAATATGTTTGTCCGTTTAATTTGTTTTCCTTTGTACTTCATCCCATTTTAATTTTTTTTTTACTACAAATCAGTTTTTGGATTAGAACGAGTGACGCCATTTCATTGATGATAAAGGTCAGAATCTTTGTAAATGGCGTACATTTGGACTGTGCAAAAGTTGTGTATTTTCAGTGTGTATAGAAATAAATTATTGATTAGTTGTTTCTCTCCAGCCAATGCAGTTCTCACTGACATGAAAGCAATGACTTAATTTAGCCTACATCATACTGGGCAATCTAATATCGCAAAAAAATTAACAAATTGGTTAGTTGATTGGTCATTATCATAAACAGGTACACATTATATTGAGTTGATATAAAGGTATTTTCTGTATCATGGGGTGGAACGAGTGAGGCCTATGTCTACTGGCAAGACCATGTGATGGAGGGACCATAATACATCAAAGTTGGATATATTCCATTCACTACGAAAATATCTTTGGAAATAATTTTAAACATGGTATATTAATGAATTCCTCGGATATGTGTATATAGATAGACTCATCATCTTAACCAAAAAAATTTATTGGAAGTCTCGATTTTTATCCATTAGCTTGATTGAGATTCCGAGAGGTTTTATCGATGGATAAAGTTTTAGGAAAATAATTATAGTACTATTTTATTTAAAATAATAATTTATCAATACTTTTTACATAGTACTTTTATTATAATATTCCCATATTACTTTTTTTTCTTAAATATATATATATATATATATATATATATATATATATATATTTCAATATGAATATTCTCCTTTTCGTTAACCAATACATAAACATGGGTAACCCAGAGTAAAGGAAATTATTTGAGAATATTTATTCATGCATAATAAAAAATAAGTCGCATGTCCTCTTATTTCAGAAAGAGTAATGTAGATTTTTTTCCCCGAGTGAAGGAACGTAAGACTTGATTTTTTTTTTTTACAGAAATCTACCACCTTATTTAAACTTTTTTTTTTTTCAACTAAAAGAGCTATTCACAATTATTGTTCTATGTGATAGTGGTAAGTTTGCGCACGCGCCCTGCCTAAAATATATGGATAAGTCCCTCTGAAGTTATGTCACATAACAAAACAGAAACTTTTGGTTGTACGGCCTGCGTAATTGTCTATATTAGTAAATTTTCAACAAGGTGGACAAAGATAGCATTATTGCAGCAATATTTCGGGCTCACGACAAATGAAAATGCTACACATACACTTCCCACAACAATTTAGAAAAAACTAAAAAAGAATACGAGGCATTGCTTTATGAAAAATGAAAGTGACAGAAAGTGCAAAGGAGAAAATAATTGATGTGATTTAACTCGGGTGAGAGTTTGTGACGCTTTGGGTGGTAGTGACTATATTTTCTATTCAACAAAAAAGAGATAATTTTTTTCCAGTCAGTAATGGCGTTTAATTAATGGGTAGCTTTAAGACATTAACAAATCCTGATCCGCAAGATTTGATTATGATAGATGGGATAATCAGGACAAACCAAACAATTTTCCGAACACCCGTCAGACCCTACTTCATATTTTATTATTAGATCTTTTTCTAATAGTTATTTTTGGCCCGTATTCTTCTATTAAACTGTGTATAAACATCAAGTATTATTTTCTAAAACAAATTTTCAATTAAAATATTTAGTTATCAAAACCAAACTTGTATTCGGTTAGGCTTTGCTTTCAATTTCTCTTTATTCAGCTTTGAAACAATAAAAATTGGAGCCAATCATGATATTTTAAAGTTTGCATGTATCGCAGACCCGCCGACATGATCAATTAAGAATTAATCTCTGATGAGAGGTTATAAAATCAGGACCTACCTACTTTGGCGATTACTACTTTTGTTTTAGTAATGCAATTAATTTGCTGTGCAATCGCAAACGCACGGGAAAGGCGTATTAGAAGTGGACAATCTCCAATGAATGTCAATCAACTTTGCTGGGGTTAATTTCAGTAACTCAGTAATTACAGCTCAATAGATCACTGGTCCTTCACAACCTACACAATAAAGAACCAAAAATACTTGCTGAGTGATTGTCCAGAAATACAAACTCGAATTGGTCCACAGTAAAATCAATCACATAATATATAGAAACATGACATGACCTAGTCATCACATGTTATGTTGAGAAGCACAAATTTAATTAATTAACGGCCACGCCTGTATTCCCATTATACAGGGTTACCTTTTCCGCAATCAACTGAATTTGTTTCACTCTTTCCTGAACTAACTTCTGCAGTTGCTCTTCTTGATTAGCCTGATTGTCATCCATTTGCACAGTACTACTAGATTCGTTGGCCTCTGACCTGAACATGACAAATGACATCTCCTGATCAACATCACTTGGTACATCAAAAAGTTGCTTCCCGGAGGTTCCAGAATCTTTCCCTAAGATATCATACTTAACACGGTTGGAAACAATACTAACAAAGTTCTCTGTGTTCTTGTCAACAGGATTAAGGCCAATGTAGATCAAAACCTCCCAACACTGGAGAAACTGCTGCTTGTTAATTTTCAGACTTTTCCTTACATCCTCCACTGCACTGGGAGGAGGCAAAAGTCTAGGACAATGTGTTTTCTTCGATAACTTTCCTTGCTTTAGAAATGACACTGCTTTAGTAACTATATTCTGAATTGGGTCAAAACGAAGCAGGCGAAGTGTATCAACACAAGTTCGGACATGTTGGAAGTGATCTAGTGGCTCTTCTACTGTGAAATCAAAAACATTTTCAGATATAGCCACATCATATAGCACCTCTAGAAGGAATCGACCATAACCCTTCTGCTGGTAAGGAGGTAATACCAGTATCTGCCATCAACAGAAGATCCCGTGAAAAGATAGCAAAAAGAAGCACTTCAGAGAATTTAAGAGCATGTTAAAAGTTATAACTAATTTGAGAGCATAGAAGCATTTACAGAATGTCCAGTATATTACAAACCTGGCTTAAGCGCAATCTGGAATCATCAGGATAGTGATAAAATCGATAGACAGCAGTAAAACCAATCAACCTATATTGGATCTCTCCCTGCTGATCAGTTTTTTTCTGACACACAAGATACAGCTCCCACTGTGAATCAGTAACATCAATGGGACTGCTACCTATATGGCAAACAGGTTAAAAATTATCAGCTATAACAACATGCAATCTAAACATTGTGTAATAAGGGTACATAATGTAGTATAATACGTGAAAATTACCATCAACAAGTAGTAGCGTAAGGGGTATTAGATGACTGTAAAGTTGTCCAGTAGCCATGTTGCCTGCCACCATACGGACAACCTGGCCCAGAAGTTACATAAAAATGACATTCATTTTCACAAAATGCCCTTAAAATATGCATATTAAGCGTCATACAAAGCGCATTAGGCCACTGGCTGACCAGAAAATGTAACAACCACAGACAAGTGTGACAGATGACTTCCCTGATGAACGTTCACAAAAGAACCATCCATATTTAACAGCCTTAAAAATAGTACAAATTACCAACAAAAATCACAAAAAGATGCACATGCAAAGTTCCCTTTCAGAGAATCATCCTGATCTATTCATGCCAAGTGAGGAAAAAATTTTATGGGCCACATGAGCACGTTTTCCAGAAGAGTAGCATTACACAATAACATGAATACAGAAGGGAGCAAGTCAATTACATATTCCACTCCTCTAATGCATTGAAACAGAATTTACTGGAGACTTCACAACAAGACTGCACTAGAATTTGGAAAAACACTTGCTCTCAGATAATCAAATAACCTAACTTTTATCGATAGTGCAATATATTGAGACTAAATGTAAATTACAACCTCAACATTTGAAGTAGACGAATCTGTATTCTGATTAGAATCACAAATGTTACCCTTGAAAGCTTTGTGCTTCAAAGCTTCTCCCTTTGAGATGTTGGCTCTGCAAGTCAATTTAAAATAGTCACCAACAGTCCTACAACTATATAAATCAATTTGCAAGTGACATTAATACGGAAAGAAACTATGCATGGCAAGTGCGTACTTCTATTTTGAATGTACAGAATAATAAAGACTCAATACCTAACAAAATCGTTATCCACCATAAATTTCTGAAGGAATTCATCCCTGCTATCAACAAGAGTCTCAGCAAAAATTGTCTGCACAAATTAATAAACCAAGTGGAAATGTCATGACTGAGTACAAGGTGTAAACATAACGACCACCCAGGTGATGTAGATGCACACCTGAAGAGCAGATTTCAGATCTGTGATACCTTTGCCTCGCTTAAAATATTGAACAACAAATTCAAAAAGCATCAGCCATAAAGCTTCATGCATAGCAACAGAATATTTTGAACTAATCGAAGAGGTGAAAGAATAAGACACGTGATTTTTCCCATTAGTCAAAATTGTAAATAAATTCAGAACTTACATCAGATGAACTTTGGAATGTAATATCAGCATATGCATAAAAAGATATACTGCTAACCCAGATGGTAATCTGTAAAACAAATTCAAACAGGCTTAAAAAAATAAGACATCGTACACCATAAAACATTCAAATACTACTATTTTTCAATAAATGAATCGGCAGTTGTTAAAAAGGAAACCTTCAAACCCTCGTAGCCATAAATTTTTCCATCATCATCAAAAAAGCTATTCAAATCCACAGGATGAATGACAAAACTCTCTGGAGCATCAAATTCTTCCTTGCTTGAAACTGTACAATAGTAGCAGATGTTAAAAAAAAAAAAAAAAATTAAAGTATGCATGTCAATTGTAAAATCACAACATACCGACAAGCAACTCATAGAAATGAGCAAAGAAAACAAATAGTACTAAAGATCACATAAAGGAACTTGAGCAAAAATTGATTAGCAAAATCAAGTCCTTAGTAAGCTAAGCTAAAAAATAGCTATTGCTAGGAAAAGAGTCATCATATACTGGTTACCGCTATCAATGCGATCCTGCTCAATGACACAGTCGAAACTACGAGCTACTTTAAAAAAGTGCCTACAGCACCCAATTAATAAAATAACTCATACTTTCGCACGACACACAAGTAAGAAATAATATGTCCACAAATATAAATAAAGTATAAACAAACTAAACATTAAAGCTAATCAGGCATTGCCATTATAATCATTATTTACATATTGATATCGTTTTGGTTACCTACAATGCTAACTAACTACACCACTCTGATATCGTAAATCACATATAAACATACAAAGGCCCCAAAAGAAAGGAAAAATTAGAAAGAAGAGTTAATCAAGTCATAATTAGCAGAATATAACGTAAGCAACCCATTTTCAGAGAAACCACCTTCCACCAACCCATACTCAAGCTACACTGTAACCATTCAAATCAAGAACTACAGAGCAGCATGACAAAACTATAGCATATTTTAAACATACCTAGGTAGATTGTGATGCAGTCCTTGGACTCAATTCCATCATCTACAAAATGGGACCGAAATATTCAAATACGTCGCAGCACCAATTGCATAATTTCACACACAAAAAACTGCCAAATAAGTGAAACTCACCTACGCCTGAGAAACCGACACGGCGTCGCTTCTTCACTTCGTTGTCAACGTCGGAACTAGCTCGCTGTTTCTGGCCCATTCTCTCTTGCTTCTCTTCCCACTCAACTCAGTCTCATAGGTAGTTAGGGTTTTCAGAGCGGGAAATCGAATTACACCAGTAATTGAGGGCTTTTAAATAGGGCAAATTCCCGGCACCCCTAATTGGGCCGAACTCGTAACTGTAGGCCCAAATATACATTTGGGCAAATTCCCAGTACCCTTATTGTTGCTTTTTACTTTTTTTGCCCACAATTATCATTGACAAGAATGTGTGGCGTTGAGTATTATATTTTCTTTGTTAGGAAGCGCACATAAAATATACTTCCAAAACACATGTTCCATGTATATATATTTCTCAACAGAAAAATGCTTCTACTATGTGTGGAAAGTACATTCCTAACCCATAATTTTTTTATGTTGTCTTCCAACTAAATTTGATGTTTCATTTAAATAATCTTCATAATAAAAGTTTCAATAGAAGGTTAACATATATTAATAAAATAAAACTCTAATTTTTTATTAAAAAATAATAATAAAATATATATGAAACTATTTATCTTGGTTAAGATTCAATTTTAACTATTCCATAAATGTTAATTAAACGCGCTAAATCTAATTGGGACAAAATTCCTAGTGTCTATTATTGGGCTCAACCAACAACAACGGGCCCAGATTAACAGGTGGGTCTTAAGATAGGCCATGTTATATATGTTTAATGGTTGCAAAATCTCGCATCCTCGGACACCATTAAACCCTAGTAAAACCCTTGCTTGTTTGGAAATGGCGTTCAACTCAATTCTCCGCAAGTCGGGTTCTTTTGTGAGGGCTCTTGCTGTGGCGGGTCAATTGACGAAGAATAACCACCTAGGTCACCGCACCTTAACCTTCACTGCCATCAACCAACACAAGGATTCATTTATTCCAAAATTTCACTTTTCTTCTGTAGCTGCCCAGAAGAAACCAACCTCCGATGAGAACCTTCTCCGAATCATTGAATCCGAAATCGAATGCGCCCAGGAAACTGACGATCACAACGCAGTAAGTCTTCATTTTTCTTTCCAATTCATACAATGATAATAACTACGGTTGTTTTATCTTTGAGGATTTATGTGCTGGAAGTTGAATTGGTTGATAGGTTGAAGAGGTTCCGAGTAATTTTCCGTTTAAAATAATTGATAATGCCGGACAGCAGACTATAACGCTTGAGAGAACGTACCAAGATGAGGAAATTAAGGTAGAGGTTCTCATGCCTGATTTGGTCACTGGGGAAGGAAATGAAGATGATAATGATAATGAGAGTGAAAGAGCTTCTCAGTCAAGCATTCCGCTTTCAGTCAGCGTTTACAAGAAGGGTGGACCCTATCTACAGTTTAACTGTGTGGGTTACCCAGATGAGATTGTTATAGACAGCTTGTCTGTTAAAAATCCTGATCTTACTGAGGATCAAATTGCCTACGAGGGACCAGACTTCCAGTATGTCCTTTCTACAACTCTTTGAAAATATTATTTATTTGTTGTTGTGGTAAGGTCTTGTATGATTGAATTTACTGTGTTTTATTATTGTCTTCTGCAGGGACTTGGATGAGAATCTGCAGAAGTCTTTCCATAAGTATTTAGAAATAAGAGGAATAAAACCCAGCACAACCAATTTCTTGCATGAGTACATGATCAACAAGGACAGTAAAGAGTACTTGGTGTGGCTGAATAAGCTCAAGAGCTTCGTTCAAGCATGAGCCTTGACATCTCTTTATGTGATTACCGTTTGACGAACGTATGGTCGTGGATGAAATTTTGTGTAGTCATTAAACATTTGAAGATTTTATCTTTACGGTTTAGCTGTAGCTGCAATCCTGTTGGCTATTAAAGGTAGATTATGTCGCCAAGTGTTGGTTAATTTATTGCAATAATTTAAGTTCTATTCGCAGTTTGTCCTATAAAAATTGAAATTTTACTCAATTTCATTCGCATATGTTGGTTGCGTGTCTTAAGCGTTTTTCAGCCTTTCTTCCATTCCATTTCACCGAGAAAGTTATTGTATGTCGTCGTTCGTTTAGGAACGTGTTCATTCTCAACTTGGTTATTCCTGAAATCCCCTGCAATCCTTTTAATTCTCAATACTGTCATCTTAACCAGTTAGCATAAGGTTTTCTGTTTAAGACTCTATTCATAAGGGTTTTCTGATATAGTGTAGTCCAGATTGACAGTTTCTCCAACTAAAATTAGCAATTTTTGTTTGTACTTTTACTTCAAAGTGTAATAATAAATTATTACTTTAGGATCATTATGGACAGTCGGTTTGCATATGAGCCGGACTTTAATCAATTCAAACCTGGAATGGTGGGACTCCTTCTCCCTTTAAGTGGGAAATTTACAGTATTGTGAACATTATCAAAAATTGAATTGTAATCACTAAATTGTCGTTAACAATGCAATGAATGAATTCCATTGCTGAGATTTCATATTCTCTGTTTTCCTCGCACAATTAAAGGTGGTGATTTTTTATTTGCTAAAACCAAATCTTTATTGTTGACAGTAAAAATTCATGACGGAAAGGAACCGGCAGATGGTAATCAGACAATTTTATACTGTTGTCTCTACTGTAAAAAACCAAACGATAAGGCTACTAAAGGAATCAAATCAGTCAAACCATTCAAATTAAGCTGCAATGTCTTTGTGGGTGTAGACAACCCCTCTATCACCATCTACTATTTGTCCCCTTCCTTTTAGTATCCTGCAATGTAGAGAAGGGGAAAGACAGTAAGTAAAACACGAAGGAAATACCATATACAACTTGGGGGTTTATTATAAAATGATGAAATTCAAGATATAAATCATGCATGTGTTAGAACTGTGTTGTAGACACTGGAGTATGAGATATATTTCATTAACAACAAGCAGGCGCAGCATCATAATTTGGCTACTTTGCATGATTGTGCTGCAGCAAGTTATTGATATTTAAGGTGCAGAGAGTGCACTATCGGTGACATGACAACTATCAAATAAATGACTGAAATATTGGGACTTCGAGCGGTGCACATACCATCTTGTTGTTAACAATCCCTCAACTCCTACTGGACCTCGAGCATGAATCCTGCTCGTACTAATTCCAACCTATTCAACCAAAAAGTAAATTACGTATTAAATCAACAACCATAATGAAAAGATTGACCATAAATGCAAACCATATTTTACCTCTGCACCTAGTCCAAATCGTGTCCCATCACTGAATCTGGTGCTTGCATTGTGAAAAACAGCAGCACTGCCAAGACGAAACGAATAATATTTACGTAATGTGTTGATATCTTCTTGGGAAGCAGTTATTAGTTTAAACAAAATGTTTAATATTTACAAATAAGCAACTTTCATATACAATGAGACAGCTGCATAGTAGAGAATTAAGTGAATCATCTTTTATTTTATTTCCCTGAATTTTTCCATTAAATACAAAAGAAGCAAGATATTTCAAATATTACCTGTCTACTTGGCGTAGAAACACACTAGCCACTTCGTTATCTTCAGCAATGATGGAATCAGTATGTGCACTGCCATAAAAGAAAGAGAAGATGTGACACTCTTCCATTTAAGCTCGCTACACTATCATAGATGCCAACTGAAATGGAGAACAGCGAAGACAAATGAAAGCAAAGTATAACTCAACATATTTCCTATCAAGCAGAAAACAACGACGTGCCTTCCATAAAGATTTATGTGATCAATTGCTGCATACACGTCATCCACAATTTCAACAGTGCAAGCCAGCGAACTGTACTCGTGATGAAATGAATGTGCTTGTGGAACATTCAACAGAGAACTTGCTATTGGTCCTCCAAATAATATAACGCCTGCATAAATCTACATAATTTAGTTGTTCCAAAAACCATTAAAGATAACACCTTAAAGTTGGTATAATACCTAAAACTAGACTCCCAATTTCATAAGTTTTTATCTGTTAAACATGATGCCAACTACTCACTAGTCTGGTAAGGAAGTAAACTGAAGTCCATAAAAGGACAACTGACTAAACCTCGGAGCTTCCTTTTCATTTCTAAATTGCCTAAAAGATAATATTATGTCGGCAAACTCAAAACCATTAAACAGGATACTCATTTTAGAACTATTCACGAGTTAGATATTATTTAGACAAACTCAAAACTGTCAAACAGTAGATGTTTAAATGTGTTTCTCTTTATCATTTTCACAGAAGAACTTGTCCACAATAACTTGGATCCAGGAACTAGCACTGTCATGTAAATCAACCTAGTATTACTAGAAATTAGCATTGGCACCGTGAAGGTCAAGTTGCATCGATGGTTATCTTCTCACCATAACTTGCCAAAGAGAATTCAAGAAACAGAAGTACAAGCAATGCACTCTCTATCACATTCTATCAAAGAAACTAGGTTGACATTTATTGAAAATCATGAAATTATCAAGTAAAATTCATTGAATAGAAAGTGAGGCGTTTGAGTCCCAATAAATTTCGACTGGTGTTAGAGGATTATTGATAGCATTTCAAGAAAACATACTACAGTGTCAGTGTTCCTAATTTATCCATTTTACAAAATTCATTTCTGTTACGTATTACATGTACATCATTATATGTAGTTGTAAAATGTTCAGAAAAAGAGGAATGATAGGTAGAAATCATACCTTCAGTTTGTAGGTCAAGTACGATATCATTGAGCCAACTTTTCTCTATCAAATCCCTGTGGATAAGAAGTGTTTCCTAAAAGTTGAAATTTAAAACAAAAGTTATGTACAGCCGATATTGCTAGCTTTACCAATCTTGAAGAGTCATTTTACCATGGCATTGCAGGCTGCTGGATAATCTATTTTTGCGTCCAGTACAATCCGTCTTGCCATCTCCAGATTAGCAGACTTATCAACATAGACATGGCAAATTCCATCTGGTTTAGTAACATCGCAGCTTATTAATCAACTAAATGAAACATAGTTATGTGGTTTTATAAATTATATTAATGGGTTAACTACATTTTTGGTCCATTAAGTTTGGGATGTGTACATTTTTTATCTCTCAGATTTTGTTAAAACCAATTACATCCTATTTTTGAATAAGCAAAATTGCCTTGGGTCAAATATTTTTCATCTAAAACTCATTATTTTATATCCAAATATTTAGAGATTTATGATGGATTTTAGGTAGGGAATACCTTTTTTAAGAGTCAGAAATTTATAAAAAAAGGCTTCATTTTTCTTTGGTTCTCCAGGTCCTTGTATGGTAATTGTGTGATACGTGGAGGACTAAAATTCGAATTGAACCTATAAAAAAGCAAGATGATTTAAAGGATTTTACAGGGCATAAGATTATGGGTTGAAGGAAAACAAATGATATTTTTTATTTTTCATGTGAAATTTGATGCTTTGAATAATGTGTTTTGAGTAGAAGATGATTTAAAACGAGTAAATCTGAGAAGATCAAGTATAAAATATGAATTTGATGGTCTTAAGTAGGAAAAAAAATAAAAATAAATAGATGCTGGACCACATTTGTTTAATTAAAAAAATTAAGGGACTTAATTGACTTGAAAAAACATGAAGCACCAAAACCACACACTGTCCAAATTGAAGAGAATAAAGTTCAACTAAGCCTATATTTAAACATTAGAATAATGGTCTTACCAGCATGACCTAAAACAGGAATTTTAGTTGAACTCTTGATCTGAGAAACAAGTTTGTTGCTACCTCTTGGAATGACCAGATCAATTACGTCATCCAGCTGAAAATTAAATAGGAAGGTGCCAATGCTTAAGGGGAATAAGTTTATAAATTGAAATCAAGCTTCACTGATTACTTCACCTTCAGTAGCTCCGGGATTTCTTCCCTTGAGGTCACAAGCCCTATAAGTTTTCCACCAACAGTGTCTGGTATGGCCTCAGTAATTACCTGCATCTCAGACATACAGACTCACTCCATAGATATTTGAATAATGGTGACTGCAAACAAATAATATTTAAACAGCAAATAGTTCAGAAATTAATTTATTTGGAACCAAACTTTGTGCAAAATTGCATTTGACCGCTTAGCTTCTTTTCCACCTTTCAAGAGAAGCCCATTCCCACTTCGGATTGCCAGTGAAGCTATCTGTTCAGATGATAAGAAGCTACCACTCAAAAAGTAGATAAACAGCAAGCATATAATACAAAGATGATATATCTGCTTTAAGCTCCTGAAGCTCAACCATACCATAGCATTAATCCCATTACAGATCAATAGTAACCAAGTAAAAAAATGTATTCATTTAATAAATTACAAACCTATGCTAATGAAGAAAAGGAACGAAAAAAAGAAATGAGATATATGATACACCAACATACCACCATGTCGCAATACATTGGAATAGACAAACAATATCAGTGACATGGAAATAATGGGTCTAAAAAATTATATTCAACAGATTTATATAAAAAACAGTAGTCTTTGAGACAACAGTTTCAAGATTATGGAAAATTGCATGCCAACAAAGTATATGATGACTGTTGAAGAAAGTGAAACAAAATACAAAAAGCTAATATGTCTTATCTCATGTCTATGCATTAAAATATTTTCACTTTTTTATTTCATGTCCCAATTGGAGGAATACAGGGTACCTTCAAATCTTACTTTTACTGCTAAGAAGCATACAAATCTCAGTTAATTTTTTATAGTCATGATATCATAAAGCTCATTTGGTAGCCTCTAAACAGATCTTCCCTAACACCTTCAAGGGTTGATACTTTAAACAGAAGTAAACAAGGATAAAAATAAATGTAAATGCTGAACACCAAGTACAAAGTTAAATGGAGAAAGCCTGTTTTTCCTTTCCGGAAAACTGAAGTACTTAACCAAGTTTAAACCAAACAAAGATAAACGATGAAAAAAGCTTAATTCACCTGTACAAGAGCATCAGGGCGTGACTCAAAAACAATAAGAAGCACTCCTAAAGGCGATGATGTCTTTTCTAAAATTAACCCATCTGCAAGCTGAATAAAAGGGTGACTGTCAGAAACATTACAGATCAATATATAAAAAATCTGGTGTAATCATGAGTGTCCATGAGAAATTGTTCATACTTAAGTCACACAAGAATCAATTACACTAAAATAATTTGTCTTAAACAAAATCATGAATATCACAAGTCAATCAAATTAACAAGTGAAATTGGAATATGCTGTTAATACCATGATCTAAACTATATATTTCCAGATCAACCTCCCATTACCTCAGTTCGTTTTAATACTCGACATATTGGATCTTCCATATTGGCAATAATGCGCATGTTGTTTGCAAGACTTGCAATCTGTCAGTTATGATAGTTTATCATCAGAAATTCTTCAGTTTATTAAAATATGGACAATTTTCTTCTAGAAGAGAATTTTCTTGCCTTCCCAGGTTTTAAAGCTAGCCTATCCACCAAAGATTTTTCATATCCTGCTTCTTGTGCAGTGGTAACATCAGCTTCATTTTCAGTCGTGATTATTTTTTCATTTGCTTCCAGGGCATCAGCTATTTTATATAAAATTTGTTTCCTTTCATCTGAAGATAAGGCCTACAAAGTGAAATTAAGATATCAGGATTGCTTCACTAACATCTCAGTAATATCCATGATCTGTCACACATTTTTTAAATGTGTAGATAGAAAAGATACTTGGAGCCTTCTGGAACATTCCCTGGCAGCAATTGCCATCTCTCGTGCATCAACCTCTTTTACTTGGGCCCACTCATGTGCATCTTTATGGAAGAGAGTTCCTATACATTGTCCTTGGAGAACATTAATAATATTCTCAGCCGCAAAACCACTGAAACAAACAGGGACAAACCAACTTGCAAAGATGATCATCCAATATAGATAGCGTAATGATAACACACTTGATCTCATAGTTTTATTTGGGCAGGCAGAACAACAAATGAAAAAGCAAAGGAGGGGTCTCATAAGTGATTTTTCCATTCTCTATGTGGGCATGCACACACATTTTCATTTAGATTTACAAATTCAAAACATGTGGTGGACAAAAAGACATAGAAGAAAAAGAAAATGAAAGGATAAGGACTAAAGAAACAGGCATATGCATGCAATTTAATCAAACTTTCATTTTCCAAATTGCTTGTGGTTTAATGAAACAGTCTGTTTAGATGTCAAGGCCTAACTAACCTATTTCTAATTGAAAACTGTTCTGATAAAAAAATGCTTCAAAGTAATGATCTTTCTCAGCAATATAGTGTACTAGTGCACCTGGTAATAACAACAGGAATGCCAGCTTCTGCTGCATTAACTGCAGCTTTTACTTTGGCAGTCATTCCACCTCTTCCCACTCTAGACTTGTCGCCAAAAGTAATTTCACTCTGATGCCTTTCCTTATTATATGTATGAATAAGCTTTGACTGTGGGTCAGTTGGAGGGCCACTATAAAGACCTTCTACATCACTCAACAAAACAAGGAGATCCGCTTTCAACTCCAAGGCTAATAAAGCAGATAAACTATCATTATCCCAAAATATACCAGAGGAATCCTGCACAAAAAAATGAGGTAATGACAGTTAATCTTAAACAGATGGAAAAGGAAAGAATAAAGCAATCATTCCAGGTAGTAGACTCCAAACTAAACTTTAAAGCTGATATAAAACAAGTAAAATTTCTGATATCCAAACAAACAAATAAAAATGGGTTGAAGGAGAAAAAAAAAAAGAGTTTAATTTCCTATATAAAAATTGTTATTCCCTCCCTCTCATGTAACACACACACATCTAAAAGAACAATTCATAACACCTACTAAAAACTCTCATTTCATAACTACATTGCATATTTACTAGTGTATTTATTTCTTGATACTATTATAAAAAAGAAAATTAACATTTTTATATTTTACCCTACCTTCACCGGACCAAACTAACACGGTGGCCGGTGGTGGGCGGCGGTGGACGATGGTGGACCGCGGTCCACGGTGGCCGGAGATGACAGGAAATCACTGCGGGATCGTACTCGCTCTGATACCAACTTGAGAAACTTATTTAGGATTTTCAATATAGTGTCAAAAGGCAAAGGCAATGTTACATTGTATTTATAGATAAAAAAGATACAATAGAGAGGATATGGATCACAGCCCAAACCCTTAACCTTAGTATAAGGAAAGATAGAAAAACATCATATCTCAACATTCTCCCTCAAGCTGGAGCATATAGATTGTACACACTAAGCTTGGAACAAATAAACTGAATCCTAGGACCTCTCAAGGATTTAGTTAAAATGTCCGTCAGTTGTTCATTGGAGCTTACAAATTCAGTTACAAGTTTCTTAGACACTAACTTTTCTCTAACAAAGTGACAATCAATCTCGATATGTTTTGTTCTTTCATGAAAGACTGGGTTAGAGGCAAAACTGTCTGATTATCACAAAACAACTTCATTTGCCCATTATCACAAAATTTTAATTCTTGAAGGAATTGTTTGATCCAAACAAGTTCACATATAGCAAGTGCCATAGATCTATACTCAGTTTTTGCACTAGATCGAGTAACAACACATTGCTTTTTACTCTTCCAAGAAATCAAATTTCTCCAATAAAAATACAATACCCAATAGTAGATCTTCTATCAATGGGACAACCAGCCCAATCTGTATCACAATAACCTAGAATTTGAGTATTACCTTTATCTTCATATAACAATCCTTGTCCTGGAGCCCCTTTAATATATCTTAGAATGCGAATCAAGACGTCCCAATGATCAGTATAAGGATTTTGCATAAATTGACTAACTACTCCAACTGCATAAGAAATATCGGGTCGGGTAATAGTGAGATAAATGAGTTTACCAACCAACCTCCTGTATCTTTCTAGATTTGACAACTTTTCTCCTTTATCTTCCATCAATTTATGATTAGTCCATTGGGGTATCAATGAGTTTACAATTTGTTAAACTTGTCTCCTTCAGAATATCAAGGCATACTTCCTCTAAGAGATGATCACACTTTCCTTTGACTGAGCTACTTCAATACCAAGAAAATACTTCAATTGACCAAGGTCTTTGGTTTGGAAGTGAGCAAATAGATGATTCTTCAGTTCACTGATCTTAGTATAATCATTGCCTGTAATAATAATATCATCAACATAAACCATAAAATATACACACTTGCCTGAAGAGGAATGACAATAAAACATTGAGTGATCTGCTTCACTCTTTTTCAAGCCAAACAACTGTACAACATGACTAAATTTCTCAAACCAAACTCGAGGTGACTGTTTCAAGCCATAAAGAGATCAGTGTAGCTTGCATACTAAATCAGACTCCCCCTGAGCAATAAATTCAGGAGGTTGCTTCATATAAATCTCTTCGTAAAGGTCACCATGAAGAAAGACATTTTTAATGTCCAGTTGGTGAAGGGAATAATGACGAATCTCAGCCATAGCAAGGAAAAGACAAATAGTGAAAATCTTAGCTACTGGAGAGAAGGTATCACAATAGTCGAGACCATAAATTTGAGTGTAGCCTTTAGCTACTAAACAAGTTTTAAGACGATCCATTTTACTATTATTATCATCAACTTTAACTGCATAGACCCACAACCTTTTTGCCAGGAGGAAGAAGGACAAGCTCCCAAGTGCCATTGTGTTCAAGAACCTGCATTTCATTAATCATGGTTTGTCGCCACCCATGGTGATCAAGAGCCTTATGGATAGTATTAGGAATAGTGGTGTCAGCCAAAGAGACAACAAAAGAGAAATAGGAAGGTGACAAAAACGATGGTAACTTAAAAAGTTATAAATAGGAAAGGGATTTCGAGATGAACGAATACCTTTTCTGAGTGCAATAGGTCATCCAGAATCAAAAGTGGGAGAGGAGGTCAAAGGATCTATGGTACGAGAATCTGATGGAAAAGGTTCTGAATCACGATCATCTGCAGAATCTGGTAAAGGCGTAGGTAGATCACATGAGGGTATAAGAAGAGGAGGAGAATCATTGAGACTTATAGGTTGAATTGGTGAAGGATCAAGTATTATAAATGGATCACATGAGGGTATAGGAAGAACATTTTGAATAGAGGAATCATCCTCCATGGAAGAAGAAAAGAAGGGTGTTACCTCAAAGAAGGTGACATCAGCAGACATGTAATACCTTTTGGTGGATGGAGAATAACATTTGTACCTTTTTTGGAGGCGAGAGTGCCCTAAAAATACATATTTAATGGCTTTAGCACCTAACTTATCCAGACCTGGAGAGATATTATGGACAAAACAGGTACAACCAAATACACGAGGAGACACATGATAAAGATGATCATCTGGGAAGATAAGACAATGAGGAATTTAATTTTGAAGAGAAGAATATGGCATGTGGTTGATCAGAAAACAAGCAGTGAGAACTGCATCTCCCCAATGATGAACAGGAACATTGGACTTAAGATTAATAGAGAAAAAATATATCTTCAGGGCTCACGGACCCTTCTCCCTTTCTTCTATTTATAATGGAAAATCTGATACAATGAGACATAGAAAACTAAGTAAGAGACTGCAACTAGGACCTTAGGTGCAGACCTAGATATAGATGTAGGAAGTTTCCTACACTCAACACCCTATACTTAGGTCTAATGATAATACTAGGAACTAATGATTCTAACACTCCCCCTCAAGCTGGAACATACAAATTGTATGAACCAAGCTTGGAACAAATGAACTCAATCTGAGGTCCCCTTAATGACTTGATCAACACATCTGCACGTTGGTCATTTGACCCAACGAACTCAGTACAAATTTCCTTGGACATTAATTTTTTCCGAACAAAATGGCAGTTGATTTCTATGTGTTTCGTCCTCTCATGAAACACCGGATTTGATGCAATGTGGAGAGCAGCTTGGTTGTCACAGTACATCTTCATGGTCTGAATTTCACAGAAATTAAGCTCCCAAAGAAATTGTTTTACCCATATGAGAGGATGTCACAGTACAGCTTGGACGCCATTGGCCGATATTCAGCTTCAGCGGATGATCGGGCTACTACATTTGACTTCTTACTTTTCCATGAGATAACATTTCCTCCAAGGAAGACACAATATCCTATAGTAGAGCGGCTGTCAATAGGAGAGTCTGCCCAATCAGCATCATAATACCTGGAGACTTGAACATTTCCTTTATCTCCATATAGTAAACCCTGTCCAGGAGCCTTCTTGAGGTACCTTAAAATACGGATGATGGCATTCCAATGTCAAAGATATGGAATCTGCGTAAACTGACTAACCACTCCAACTGCAAAAGATAGATCAGACCTCGTAATAGTAAGATAAATTAGTTTTCCAACAAACCACCTATATCTCTCTGGATCAAAGAATAATTTACCTTCTTCTGTCGTTAGCTTCTGATTTGGGTCTATAGGACTGTCTACTGATCTACAGTCAATCATGCCTGTTTCTTGTAATATATCAAGAGCATACTTCCTTTGAGAGATTATAATTCCATCTTTTGACTGAACTACTTCAATGCCCAAGAAGTATTTGAGGCTTCCAAGATCCTTGGTTTGAAAATGTCTACACAAGTACTCCTTTAGTTGAGATATTCCAACAATGTCATTTCTTGTAATGACTATATCATCAACATATACTATTAGGTAAACACATTTCTCGAGAGATATATGACAGTAAAAGACAGAATGACTTCCTTCACTACGTCTTAGCCTAAATTTTTTAACAATGAAGTTGAATTTTCCAAACCAAGCACGTGGTGATTGCTTGAGGCCATATAGAGAACAATGCAATTTGCATACTATACCATACTCCCCCTGATCAACGAACCCAGGGGGCTGCTCCATGTAAATCTCTTCCTCAAGATCACCATGGAGGAAGACATTTTTGATATCCAATTGATGAAGTGGCCAGTGACAATCGGCTGCCATGGCAAAGAAGAGACAAATAGTAGTCATCTTGGCCACGGGAGAAAAAGTGTCACAATAATCAAGACCATAAACTTAAGTGTATCCTTTTGTAACCAATCGAGCTTTGAGTCGATCAACTTGACCATCAAGGCCAACTTTAATTGTATACATCCATCGACAACCAACAACCTTCTTACCCAGTGGGAGGGGCACGACTGTGTTCAAGAGCCTGCATCTCTGCAATCATGACTTGTCGTCATCCAGGATGATTAAGTGCTTCATTCACATTCTTGGGAATAACAACAAATGATATTGAAGATAAAAGGGAACAATAGGAAGACGATAATCTGTGATAGCTAAGACAATTATAAATGGGATGTGAATTTCGAGTGGAACGAGTACCTTTTCTAAGAGCAATGGACCAACCTGAATCATCTTCACCAGGAGTCGTGATATCAAGGGACGCGAGAGAAGTATCTGAAGTAGTGGATTCACCATGTTCTTGGAAAACGGGACTATCTGTCTGGGAGGTATGAATAGGTGGAGATGATGACCCAAGAGGACTTTGATCAAGACTTTGACCAGGATTGACAGAGACATTGGAAAGATTGTACTCAACATGAGCATCTTGAACAGATGGAGAGAAGTAAGGGGTTTGTTCAAAGAACGTGACATTGGCAGACATGAACATCTTGAACAGATGGAGAGAAGTAAGGGGTCTGTTCAAAGAAGTAAGGGGTTTGTTCTTCGTTTCAGGAGAGTAACAACGATACCCTTTCTGAAGACGGGAATAGCCCAAGAAGACACATTTGAGAGAGCGAGTAGAAAACTTGTCTAACCCTGGAGACATGTCATGAAGAAAATAGACACAACCAAAAACACGGGGAGAAATATGGAAAAGAGGATTATCTGGAAACAGAATGGAGACAGGGACCTTATGATTGAGAGAGGATGATGACATCCAATTAATAAGAAAACATACAGTTAAGATGACATCTCCCCAATGATGGACTGAATTATGGGCACTAAACAAAAGGGTACGAGCAATTTTAACCAAGTGTATATTTTTCCTTTCTGCTATACCATTTTGCTGCGGCGTATGAGGACAAGTGGACTGATGCAAGATACCATGTGAACTCAAAACGATAGAAAAAGTTATTGAAAAGTACTCCTTAGCATTGTCACTTCTCAAGATTTTGATCACTTGCTTGAATTGATTCTTAATTTCATTTAAAAAGGATGTGAAGATGGATAACAATTCAGAGTGATCTTTCATAAGATAAACCCAAGTACATCTTGAAAATTCATCAATGAAAATAACAAAATACCTAAAATCAAAAGATGAGACACGACTAGGTCCCCAGATATCAGAATGGATGATAGAAAAACTAGAATTACCTTTTGATTGAAACCTTTTAGGAAAGGCAAATCTAACATGTTTGCCTAGTTGACATGACTCACAATCTAAGGTGTGGAGACTACTAAGTTCAGGACACATTTTTTTTTAACTTGGACAAATGAGGGTGGCCAAGCCGATCATGCAACATTTTAGGACTAGGGGCTGCAACACATGACATTCATGGACGAGATCCAAAATGATATAATCCTCCTGCTTCATATCCTTCTCCAATTTGTCTCCCCGAACCACGCTCCTGTATAACAAAAGATTTGTTATCGAAGGTTACTGAACAATTTAACATTTTGGTTAACTGGCTTAAGGAAATTAAATTGAAGGGACAATTAGAGACAAAAAGGACAAATTTTAGTTTTAAGGAGGAAGACAGGATGACTTGACTGACTCCCTTTGAGGAAGTTTTAGAGTTATTTGCAAGGGTTATAAAATGAGATTTGTCTTGAAGTGAAATGGTTGAGAACAATGAGGTATTACCAGAGATGTGGTCAAAAGCACCGGAATCAATTACCCATGAATTGTGACTTTCCATGGACTTAGAGATGCAAGTTGTTGATGTACTTGGAGCTTGAGATGGTTGTGTCAAGCTGTTGGACTTGAGTCGTAGGTACTCTTGATACTCGTCCTCAATAAACTTGGGTTCAGTCGTTTCAGCCTGAGAGACATTGGTTGTTTTGGATGGAAAACCATGTAAAGAGTAACAGTTTTCCTGGGTGTGACCTATCCTTATACAATATGTGCACTGAGGACGTCCACGACCACCACGTCCGCCTCCTCTAGTTCCACGTCCTCCTCTTCCTCGAGTGGCGACCATAACAGATGGTTCTACTAGAGCAGGAGTTTCCAGAGTTTCATGTGTTGGGGCACAAGCCATGCGTTGGATTAAGGTGTCCATGGAAGGGACCTCATGAGAGGTTAGAAGCTGATATCTAATATGGTTGAAGTCTGGATGTATAGTGCGAAAAATCATTACCATATAGTATTTGTCAAACTTCTTCATTTCATCTGAAACGTCGAACTCCAAGAACATTCGTAGGTCTTCCATGGCTGATTGTGCTTCATTCATTGAAGGACACATAAATGGACAAAATTTCAGATCTGTCTTTTATTAAATAAACCCAAGTACATCTGAAAAATTCATTAATAAAGGTTACAAAATATTGAAAGCCAAATGAAGAGACACAACTCGATTCCTAAATATCAGAATGAATATTTGAGAAAGAAAAATTATATGGAGTTTCAGAGTGTTTAGGAAAGGTAGACCTAACATGTTTTCCTAATTGACAAGATTCACATTCTAAACCACAAAGATGTTTGAGATTAGAAGTCATTACTTTCAACTTTGATAAACTTGGGTGATCCAGACGATCATGCAAAAGTTTAGGAGAAGGAGGAGATATGACACCGAAGGACTTGGATTTAAATAATACAGACTACGTGATTCATGACCTTCTCCAATCAGAAGACTTGTACCATGTTCCTGAATAACAAAAGAATTGGAATTAAAGGTTACAGAACAATTCAGAGAACGAGTCAATTGACTTAGAGAAATCAAGTTATAAGGGCAATTAGGAATGAAAAGAACATAATTTAAATTCAAAGAAGGGGTTAAAGGAACATGGTCAATTCCTTGTGATTTTACTTTAGATTCATTAGTCACAGTAATTAGGTGAGGAATTTTAAGATAGAACATGGAGGAAAATGAGGAACTGTTACCAGATATATTATCAAAGGCACCTGAATCAAGAATTCATAGGTTTTGACCCTGACTGTTTAATTTTCCTGATTTGAACTTCAAAAACTCTTGATACTCCTCATGAGAGATTTTCAAATCCGGTTTTTCAGACTTAAAAACATGGGAAGTGGTATTCCTAGCAGGAAAACCGTGTAAGGAATAACAATTTTCTTGTGTGTGCCCCATCTTCTTGCAATAGAAACATTGAGGACGACCTTTTGTAGTAGCAGAAAAAGAAAAAACACTAGATGAAGCCATTTATCTGAAATGGAAATGAAAGATAAACCTAACCAATAGGGTACCCACGTGACTTAGCTTCCAAAATTCTCAAAACAGACAAATAAGGGCATCACAGAACTCGAAGGGCGCCGGCAATTCGAACGAAGGTGATTTAGAACACGCATGTGAGACGACCTCTAGAACGACCGTGCGTGGGGCAGCTGACGGAGGAGCGACTTGCAGGGGTGAGTTACGCTCTTCGAGACACACCAAACCCTACCTTCACAAGACCAAACTAACATGGTGGACGATGGTGCACGACGGCCCACGGTGACCAGAGATGACAGGAAATCACTGCAGGATCGTACCCGCTTTGATACCAACTTGAGAAACTTATTTAGGGTTTTCAATACAGTGTTAAAAGGCACTATTACATTGTATTTATAGATAAAAGAGATACAATAGAGAGGATATGGACCTCAACCCAAACCCTTAACCCTAGTCTAAGAAAAGATAGAAAAACATCATATCTCAACAAAAGCTGATATAAAACAAGTAAAATTTCTGATATCCAAACAAACAAATAAAAATGGGTAGAAGGAAAAAAAAAACAGTTTAATTTCCTATATAAAAATTGTTATTCCCTCCCTCTCATGTAACACACATCTAAAAGAACAATTCATAACACCTACTAAAAACTCTCATTTCATAACTATATTGCATATTTACTAGTGTATTTATTTCTTGATACTGTTATAAAAAAGAAAATTAACATTTTTATATTTTAAAGTGACAAATAAAATGATAAGGAGGATTATATACTAGTGGATAGAATTCCAACTAAATATTCAGGAAATAAAACCTTGGATAGAGAATCAACATTCAAGTCTAACACAACATTAAGGTCTTGTTTAAACTACTCCATAAATATTTATAGGAGAAGAAAACAAAAGGATAAAATGAATTAAGTGTCTCTCATATGTTAAAATTAGTTCAAGCACAAATTAAAATCAGATTTTGAAGAAGTTAATAAGAGTCAATTGAAGTGAATTTAAGTCAATCATAACTTACTAAAGATAATTTCAGCTTCGTAGTTTCTTTTAGCATAAAAATTTCTAAATCAGACCTAAGTTGTAGGTTGAGCCTAGATCATATCATGCCACCTAGGAAGAACACAACTAACCTCTTTCATCGGTTCCGCAAACAAATAAGGTATTGTAGTCAACAAACCTCATATGGAGCCTTCCTAGTACTGACAGCATCGTTCTCATTGAACACCGGAATAACCTTCAGCGCCAACAATGATTTCACAGTCTCAGTAAGTTGTTTCCTGAAATCCTCATCTCGAAAATCGTTATCCGTCACAAGAAGCTGAGCCGATGTAACGTCGAGCTGAAACCGCGAAAAGAAAATTAAAATCACAGCGCGTGCAGTTGAAGGAATATGAATATAGCACAAAACTTAGATGCAGTTGCTTAAACGATTCTAGAGTTATTCTCTTAATCAAATTTCAGTTTCTCACACAACGCTTGATGGAAATTATCGCCAATGGAAAACTCTAATTCTGAATCGAAAACATTATCCACAAAACGGAATCTAAATCTTGTTCACGAACGTAACTACCTACGAATGTAATAGTAAACACAAATATTACTTACCTGAGTGAACAGAGTATCGTAGAGAGCCATGAGACTGTTTTGTCCAACGGCGGCGCAGGCCTTGCCGTCGAGTTCGTGTTCGGGTTTCTGAAGGTCGCTGAAGCTGCTGTTGAGTAATTTGCGGAAACGGAGCCTTTGGCGGCCAATACCGACGGCGCCGGAGGAGACGAGGATAATGTCGTATCTGAGAGAGTTGAGTTGCTTAATCTGCTCGCACAGAGCTCCTAATCTTCCAACCGCTAACCTTCCATCATTGCGAGTGACAACCGCGGTGCCAACCTTGATGATCACGCGCTTCACGTTCTTCATGAAGCTTCGAGAAGGATCCACCGCGCCCTCCATGGCTGAGCACTGATACGAGCAAGACCAGAGTAGACCTTCGAAATGCAAATGGAAATGAAAATGAAAATGGAATCAGTGGAATCCAAGTCAAAATCAAACCCCAATCACAATTGGTCAACTTGGTGGTAAAACGCAAAATGGTTATTATATACTGGGCGCTATATTTACATTTCTTTTATATTATTAATTTTTCTAAATAATATTTTTAAAATTTATTCTGTTTTATTTTATCTTTTTAATATTCATTACATTTTTGGCTCTTTATTTTTATATATTTTACATGTTTTTCCCTCCTTTCGTCACATGTTTCTTTTCCTTCCTCTTTTTTCATATACATAATATTATAATAATCTTTTTAAACAATAATATACAATTTTCTAATTTTATTGTTTCATTCAGTCAAATTTTTTCTTATTATTTTTTAAAAATATTTCGTTTCTATTTCTATCATATTGTTTTAATTTATTTACAGTAATTGAAAATCTTGAATAAAAGGTGTGAGTTTAATTTTTAAAAATTAAAGAAAAAGATACAAACTAAAAATTTAATTAATTTCATTGCGATTCTCTTCATAACTTTTTTTCTATAAGAGATAAAAAAAACTATTTCAATTCATAACAAAATAATTAAAAAATGTAGTAACACGAATAATCCTCATTTAATTTAAGAACAACTATATAAATAATTAAATGAAAGTAATTTATAACAAATAATTGAATATAATAAGATGTGAAGTACAGTTCTTAAAGAATATTTATGATTCATTAAAAAAAAGTGCATAGAAAAAGTAGGTATTTAATGATAGTAACAGATAATATTTTTTTTATTACATGACAACATGTAATATCTAGAATTTTTATATAAGTATAACGTTTTTAAAATAATATCAATTAATTAGCACTAAACAAGGGAAGAAAAAACAAGAAAGAAATAAAAAAAATGAACTGGAGAAAAATAAAGATAATAAATTAATTATAATAGATTCTTCAGTAAAATTAAATAAAGAAAATTTAAATATTGGTTGTTGGTAACTTTCTTTTTTGATATATAACTTGAAGGAAATATTGGGCTAATAACGTAAACTTGCTTCAGTGGTAGACCTTTTTACCAAGGTTCAATTTTTAAACCTTGGAGACACAAGGTTCGAAGCAAAGAACTCACAAGTTTTTAAAGTTGATTGATATCTTCTAGGTCATTATCCAGTCAACATTATAATATGTATGATGATAAAAGATTGGAGTTGCATCAGTTATCAAAGAAAGATGAATTGTAATATCCACATTCATAGAACAGTATTTTTACTGGTTTCCTTATTGTGACACTACTGCTTGTTGATTAATGTGTTGGTGTCTTACGAATGAATTTCTGATATGCATTTAGTTAAAAGTAGAAAACACTTTCATAATTTTTTTTCCTTTTCACGTTTATCAAGCATTTAGGTCTATCGGGGATAATAAGTACACAAAAAATTAAGTATATTCTTTGCAAAAAACTTATAGATTTGTTAAAAGTATTTTTTTTTCTTGTGCAATTTTTCATTATATCTTAATTACTTTAATTTTAATCTAGACAAATAAAAGTAATGTGTTAATCAATAACTACTAGAATGACTAGTAAACACTTTTAAATATTTTGTCATGTAATTTTATGTATTTTTTTAATACCAATGAAATAAATTTTAGTAATATTAGTTATTCTTATTTTGTATTTATATTAAAAAATGTAGGATAATATATGGAAAAAAAACTATATACATCAAATTTGCTATTTTTTATTTTTCTTTTTATAGATATATCTTAAGAATACAAATATAAAGATAAATAATATATTCTCACCACACCACCTAATATAATTTATTTTCAAGTTGAATATTTTTTATTATATAAAAAATGTTTCAAGGTTTACTTTTTTTTCTATATAAATAGTGCACGGAGACTTTGATCGACGATCTTAATGATATGGTAGTTTCAAGGTAGAACGATGTAGTCGTCGATTCGAACCGTGACTCAAATAGCAACGATGACAACTCCAATGACAATACGACTCCAATAACAAGTGGCAACAGTGCGAGGGACAACCATAGTGACAAAAATTAGATATCATGTTAAATATAGTGAAAAACTAGGTATAAATTAATTCCTTTGTGTCTAAAATATAGAGAGTAATATATTTATAATTAAGAGTTACATAAATAAATATGATAAATATATATATCATAATTAATAATATCTAAAATTTATATATCAATATATATATATATATATATATATATATATATATATATATTAAAATACAATGGCTAAAATTTGTTTTGAAATTAAGTATAAGTCACTAACCACTAGTATAAAATAGGCTTTTAACATCGGTTTTAGAACCGATGTAGAAAGTTTAATATTTTTATTTATTCATAACTCCTCTCTAATTACCCTATCTATTGATAAAGTCTAATATTTTTATTTATTCATAACTCCTACCTTAGAATCAGAGGTGATACTCCAACCACTAAACTATTAGGATTTTTCGATAATAACTTATACATAAATTATATTTATATACAAATAAAAATGTATATCCATGTAAATATATAAATATAAAATATATAAATACAAATACAAATATGTTTATATATTTATATGTTGTATGTGAGGGCGCTCTCGAGGATGAAAGTGTGTGTCGAGTGAATTTTCAAAATTTGATGTCAAATTTGTGAGCGGGTCTCTTTATATGGATTATAACTTAATGACAAAATATAATCTTTATAATTTATTTATATAATGATATAAAATAAAAAATGTTCTTTATTTTATACCATTATATAAATTAATTATAAAGATTATATTCTATATCATTATAAATTAATTATAAAGATTATATTCTATATCATTATAAATAAATTATAAAGATTATATTTCATCATTAAATTACAAATTCATATAAAGAGACTCACTCACAAATTTGACATTAAATTTTGAAAACCCACTTGACACACACTTTCACTCTCGAGCTTGCTCTCACATCCAACATATAAATATATAAATATATTTGTATTTATATATTTTATATTTATATATTTACATGGATATATATTTTTATTTGTATATAAATATAATTTATTTATAAGTTATTATAAGAAAATCCTAGTAGTTTAGTGGTTGGAGTATCAGTCTTTAATCCTTCTATGACATTTGGTTCGAATCTTGTCATTAATAATTATCTTAATTTTATGAAAAGCCTGTCTATATTGGTTCATCTAGGAACTAATGTTAAAAATGATTTCTCTACTAGTGAACATTAGTTATTTGTTAAATTTTGTACTTTTCCTTTATATGATTTTCAAATTGTTTTCAACGCACCAGGTTTGTTGTCCTATTACAACTAATCTGCGTCATATATTGTAGCTAATTTGTTCTTTTAAGAACCTATAGAATTGAATTATCGTATTATAAGAAAAAAAAGGATCAACATGGTTAGTTAAAATTACTTTCTATATGCTTGTTACTTAGTATACATTTATATAAAAACTCTAAATCTTTAATAATTTGATTTTTATGTTTTCAAATTGAAAATTCTCAATCTTTACTCTCTAACATTTAAAGATTTAAAAGAAAAATATACATAATACGATTAAAAAGTCTTTTTAAATGTTCTACAATTTTTTTAAAACATTTATACTATTATGTTAATTTTCTTTTACGATTTTGTGTATTTTATTTTTCTTTGAGTTTGCTGGGACTGTCGAGGGAGTCTCTCTTTGCAAGCCTGCTTGATGAGATAGTTTTTCACTGTGACTGAGAAAGTTAGGAGGAGAATGAGCTAAAGGTGGTGGACATAATTACAATCGAACTTATCATAAACCACTAGATTAAGAGTTAAGGTGGTAGTGGGAGGAGAAACATGATAGAAGATTCTTATGCTAAGATGATAATTGGGTGGGAAAGGAGGAAGAGGAAGTGACATGCCTTCAACACTGGTTTCTAGATTGATCATTTAGGTTAGTGTGGGTTATAGCTGTGTTTGAGTTAGGACATCCTATTTTATTTTTGTTATCTTATTAACTTTTTTTTTTATCTTAAAATTATCAAATAACTCAAACTTTACATGAGAGAATAAGGTATTCGTTCATTGCTTCATTACCTAAATCAGAGAGTAATGATAGTTAGTACTAGAGTTTTTTCTATTATTACCAATTAATTTTATATCAAAATTTATAATAAACAATTTTTTATGTAGTAAAATAACGTATTACATTATCACTTCTTAAACATAATTTAAAATAATTTTTACTGTTATCTCTTATAATTTCCTAGCTCATCTTTCGAGCTAATCACTCATTAATTAATTGTTTATCCTAAAATCTTGTAGGAGTTATATATATAATTTTACTTTGTATTTTTTTAGTTTGAATAAGTTTTATGAATTAATGATTCACTATTCAATATTAAATCAATTTTTGGACATCATTTTTTAATATTTTGTTCCACCGAATTATTTACCTATCTATTGTGGATTTTTATGAATGAAAGGAAAAAGATTGAGTGAATTGACAAGAATTGGATAGGGTCACCGGGATCAATAATATCAACAGAAAAAATATGATATTTATGATAGAAATTTATAAGTATAAGAAAGATAAAATTATATGCATAACTAATATGAAATTATCTTAAATTGCAAAACAACCATATATTCTTAATCAATATATAATGAGAAATTGGATAATATTAATTTTTAGTATCCAGTGATAAAAAATTGACCATTGTAAATGTTTGATATTTTTTTGGCAGAATTATTCTTGTATGTGAAGTCAGGCAATTGAGTGAGGTGGAGTGGAGTGGTGTAAAGACAACTACTCCCAATTCATCCAAGTTACTATTCAACAAAGAATAAAACGAAGCAAGCGAGAACCCAGAGGAGTGATATTACACTGTCTCTTCCAAAAAGATGGCATGAGAAAGATTTGATTCACCGTACAAGAAGTTGCCTAGGCTCCACGAAAGACAGCCACTTAAAAAAATCGATGGAAAAAAGATTAACTTGCGCAGTATATTTACAAAAATATGGGAAAAGCTCAAACACATACACAAGATACTACAAATCATGATCATTCATCATCGCCTTCCAGAGTATTGAATCTTCCACAAGACTATATAAGCCAAAATGATATCGAAATTCTAACCAGGCTGTTACAGAAATCTCACTACTCTGCAATTCATTCCCATTCAATTCTAGTAAATCCAAAATACACAAACCAATTCTGCTTCAGACAATTCCACTCTCGTCTTGAACTAAGTTAGCCAATGAAGTTGCTCGTAATGATATGTTTGGGGATTATTACTCCGAAGGATTTTAGCTAGGGAAAGAACCAAACCTTGATGAAGATTGCCAAAGCTATTTGCAATGAAAATGCTGCAATAATCGCCACTGACAGCTCATTGCCTTCCATATAAGACCTCAGGTTTAAAGCAACAAAGCTTGCCGAGGCAACGCCCGTAAGGAGTATTATAACCCACCGAAGAAACTCAACAGGAATTATCAACAGGAACTGAAAGTATCCCAAGAAACATAAATTAGATAGAAATGCGAAAGACTCCACAATCTTAAAGTATGATTAGTGAACTGGTGATGTAGTTTCCTATCACAAATTATAAAATTCAATCTGAACTTAAATGCGAAAAGAAGTCACGTATCCAATCTGGATATTGTGATATATTATAATTATGCAGCACAGAATCGGAAAAAGTTTCATTTAACGCGACAATCCATTTCACTGCAGTATTATTACCACCTGAAATTTAATGGTATTTGCTTAGTAAGGAGTCAAGAGAGTTTTAAAAGAAGAGTGCCACACTTTGTTGATGGACTGTCCATTTCAAATTTCCCCTTCAGGGCCACATTCCCCACAGTGAACATGTGTCGTATAAATAATTGTGCAATATTATTTGTAGTATAAATACTTTCAGAATAAATTTTACCACATTGGAGAAAGCAGAAACTTACCGAAGAGATGATGAAAATGGTGAGAGAATACCCCCACATACACCAAAATCTAATAAGGCTTGCATTTGAACCCATATACTGAAGGAAGAAATAGTATGCCAAAGGGACCACAATTGCATAGCCATAGATGGAGCAAGCAGCCACGTTCATATAGCTGACATCAAAGGTCCAAGAGCTACTGTTATCAGCATGTTTTTGCATAAGGTACGTGGCCAGATTTCCAAGTGAGGCAAGCACAAATACCAATGTTGTTGAGATCCATATAAGCCCATATCTACAACAGAAAAGAATCGCACCATTACTATTAGAAGGGTGCTGAAAGTTTGGTTATGATAGCAAACTGACAGGCATTTCCCCAACAATGTTATGGTAACAGTTTAATTAAATTAAAACTTTCCCCAATTACCATATTTCACCATGTAATCAAAATGAGTATCTTTATTTTTTATTAATGGAAAGTATAAAGGTAAAAAAAATATAACGCACAAATCAGGGTTAGCATCTATCTTGCTGAAAAAGTCTCCAGCAACTGGATTCAAGGAACTTATCAATCTGATTAAGACAACATCCGTGTCCACATTGAAATACTGTGAATAAGATGAGATGCTAAAGACTCCCCTCCAATTGTTTGCTGGCTGTTGTTCAAAAACTTCTGCATGGATGAACAAACAAGAGAAAAATAAATGGCAGTATTATATCTGCAAGTGACAATGAAAAATGAAAATACAAATGGCAGCTATTCCCAAATCTGATTATAGAATCTATATGGGTGTGAATCTTGGTCAATGATGAAGCTAAAATCTATAAATAATTCAAAATTCAGAAAAACAATTGGCATAATGTCTGGAACCATGACACTTGAGGTATGCGATTACTTGTGTTGATTGCCTATGTTTTACTCATTAATGATCATAATTGGGTAGTAATTTAATGATGTTCCTTAACTTTTAAACTTTGTTTTAGCTCATTTTATTATAAATAATTTGTAATTAACTAAGTCTAATCAGGGAGTGCTTTTATTACCATTTGATCCCTCTAATTTTGAATTTCAGGGAGAAACCAAGCTAAGGTGAAAAATTCATGAAAAGGTTCAAGTAATAATTGACTATCAAATCTCAATGCGCTATGCGAATTCAAAGAGACTCCGAAATTCAAACAGTAAAAATGGGAGAAAGAGCAAGGAATTAAACCCTGCAGCAAATTTTGATTTGCTTAGCGAAATAGGAACAAGGAAGATGGTTTACCCCCCTGGAGCAAATTTCCCAAGCAAATCTCATTTTCGCTCAACAAATCTTATGAGGCAGATTTTGGGCAAACTGAGCTTTGAAGATTCTTTTAAAGAATTACAATCTACTGAGCAAATTTATAAAATTTGTCAACTCCCCTGTTTTGAAACAACAACATATAAATAGGACTCTTTTGAAAAAAGGGGAAGACTTCGTGGGAGAGAAGCTGGAGGTTGGAAAGAAACCATTGAAGACTTCTTTCTTCTCCCTTCTATCATTTGTATTCTTATTCCTTATCCATCATGAGTAACTAATCTTTCTTTGTTGGGATCAAATATAAGATGGCTACAATTAAAAAAAAAAAAAAAAATCTCCGGATCCCCTGCCGCAGTCATGAATTGACTATACAGTATATACTGATTAGTGTCTAACTGTCATGTACTAATGTCACCAGGAAACAGCCATAGACTACAAGTTAAATCGTTTAAACACAGAGAGAGAAGGAGGATAGACAAATCAGAAAAAGAAACAACTCTCTGAATTTTCCAAGTCACAAAAATTAGAGATCATACCAGCAGGACTGCCAAGAGTTTGGTAACCGGGTCCTCTGCCTCCTCCGTTGTTGGGAGGGAATACTTGCATACTCGCATCAGTGGCTACATGCATCATATATGTTCATGAGCAACTAGAAGCACTTAAAACTTAAAAGTAGGAAATACAAGAAACCAAAGCTCGATGCTATAAATCCATACCCACATGTTTATTGGTATTATTTTCTTCGGTAATGACAGCCTGAGCACCAAACAGGTAAATGTACAATATTAAATATGTTACAACACATTTAACAGAATTTGTTACTTTACTACCATAAAGAACCACAGAATATCACACAAGTTCCTCAACAAGAGCCATAAAATTTAAAAATCAAAAGGTTTTGAAAGATATATAATCATAAAGTCATAAGTTAAAAAAATCAAAATTAAGGTCAAAATCTTAAAATCAGAAAGGTATTTAACAGAGGCCGCAGTTGTCTAACTTAATTTAGAAATGACCTTACATTACAGCTCTTGCTATTTTTATCAGCGTAGAATCAAGCAATTACAATTATCATTCGATAGTTTCACTTCATCCCACTCCCTTCCGCTAAATTTCCACACAATCTACTTAATTCTTTAAAAAAAAAAATGAGAAACAGTTGAAGACGATCGAGCAAGCAGAGAGCGAAGTGAAGCGATATGACAATTAGAAATGAAAAACGAAAGATGATTTCGCTCACAGGAACTGAACCGAGCAAGTGGCTAGTGGGAAGACCGGTGTAAGAAGACTCCTCCATGAAATTCGATATAATGCAGAGAAATCAGCGGGTGAAGAAACCTCGTCAGTTCAGATAAGCATTGAAAGGGTTCCAAGTCGGAATCGGAATTGAACCCTAGATAGCAAAAGGAGACGCTGTTTTTCTTTTCGTCGTTTGGCAGGAAGGTGCTGCAGGGGGACTGCAAACGAAATAGCGTGCTCTTTCATACACAGGATCGGACCCCACCTTCAAATTCAATTAGCTGGGTCACGCAGGCACGTATTTGGTACCTTATTTAAATTTAGTAATTAATAATAATAATTGTTATTTTATTTTACTTTCTCTGTTACGTGGGCGTCTCTTTCCAACGAGGCTCGTGTGATTGGGCTGCAGAATGGGCCCGATCTATGGGCTCCACTACTTTTGGTTTAGCTTTTCAACGGAAGCGCACGTGCCGGCATGTGCTTTGATATATTGAATTATGAAGACCTTTTAAAAAAAAAAAATAATGACTAGTGAGTGTCAATCAGTAAATTGTTATTTTTTATTTTGCCGATTGGGCTGGAGAGGACCAATTTGTGAGCCTATGTCTGTGTACACAAAATTAAATTTACAAAAAGTAATATCAAGAAACTGTCTGAGCCCGGGTTCGAACCGGGGACCTCTAGTGTGTGAGACTAGCGTGATAACCAACTACACCACCCAGACAAGTTGAAGTTCAATTATTAATGAATTTAATTATTTAATTATATAATAAATAAATAAAATGGAAATCAAGTCAACAAGAATATATGCGTGTGCGAGAACTCACCTTTGACCTTTTTTGCTTGCTTTTCGTCCTTAACCTCACAATTCTCAAAGTAAGTCACTTTTTGTCTAAATTTCAGAAATGTATACTAAAATGTTTCTCCTTACTTTGTTTCAAGGATAGTACCTTAGTCTAATAAAGAGATGGGTGCGTGATAATTAATTTTGTTTGTATCTTTTGATTTGTGCCAAATAAGAGAAATGAATGAAAATAGTAATTATATCCTAGAAAGATAAGATTTGAAAAAAATTATATAAAGTCTATTTTATCTGAACTTTTTTCATCCTTCTGTTAATTCTTTCTATTTAATCATTTATAAATTTTTTTCATATAACCAATATAATAAATATGAATTAAATTATAAATTTGTATTATTATATATTATTTTTAAGTTATTTATATTATTTTTATTTATATTAAAATAGTAATTTTTAATATAAACTTATATTAATTATTATATATATTATTATTATAATTAAATTACATTATAAATAAAATATGGATCATAAAATTAAAAAAACATATCTGTATCGAACTAAATGTTAAAACCCATCTAATCAAATACATAAATTTATATAATCGATTATAAAATATAAATAATCAATTATATAAATATAAATAATTAATTATAACCTATAAATAATCATTACTTTAAATATATAAAATAATATTAATATATTTAAATTTTATATATAATATAAATTAATTAACATTTTTATATTTAATTATATCATAATTATCAATTTTATTTAATTTATCCATTTCATCAATACAAATATTTTACTCATTATATTAAAATTACTATTAAAATTTTTTATATTCACCCCTCTCAAAAATTATTATTCAAATATTTCAGTTACATTATCTACAATAAATAAATTCAATTCAAATTCCTTCTCCTTCTCAAATTCACTTCCCCCCTCCCCCACCCCCAATCCAATCATTATGGTTATTGTGCTACTAGTTTGTGGCGGCACAGTCACAAAACAATTACATTTATAATTTATCTCCATGCATCTCTCAGCAGCTCCAGTGTTTCTTAATTACGATAAAATGGTTGAGAATTTTAAAGTGTTCAAGTACAATCCAAACAGCCCCAGCCCCCAACTCAAATTCGCGTCCATGGTGGAGTCTCTCTTCTATTCTTCTCTACAAAAACAGTACCTACCGCACACAAGATCCCGAGGAAGCGCACCTTTTCTTTCTCCCTTTCTCCTCGCTATCGCGCGTAGCAACGACTTCACCTCCTGGAATCGCACATCGGTGCGGACCACTTCTACTTTTCGGGCGCGGGAATCCCCTCCAACGGGACTGGAACCTGGTGGAGCTGAAAAAAAAAAAAAAAAACGCAGTAGAAAAATGTAAAAAAAGTTAACTTTTGTGTGAGAAAATAAGAGAATAAAAGATAACAGTGTATAACCAATTATCTCTCAATTTTTTTAATAAAATGTTATTTTTTATATTTTAATTATTATAATAATAAATAATCAAATAAAAATATTAAAATAATAAATAAATTTATTTAAATTAATAAAATAATATTTAAATTAATTATATCAATTTTTATTGTTTATAATCTATTAATTTTTTTATTTTCTTTTAATTTAAATAACTTCATTTTCTAATATATATATATATATATATTTTTTTTTTTGTTAAGTATCTCAAATACACTCTTCAATGATGTCCGTCACAAGGACGTTAACCCGATACCCAACTCCCACGCACTACTGCGTGGAGTGCCTGCACGCGCATTAGTCAACGATATTGTGACTTCGAGGGGAGACGAGTTTTTTTGCGTGATGGAGCCCACGGACGATGTGTTGGGATAGGGGAAGCGCTGCGTGAAGGGTGCGTACTGGTGGTGGTTACAGGTTTGTTAAGCGACATGCCGTTTATGGATGTGTTAAGTGGAAGGAGATGACCGTGTTTGCGAGAAATGTGGAAGGAGTGACACGTGTGTTGGGTGACACGTGGAGGAACCAGCATATGAAACGATTGGGTGTCGGCGCGAGTACACACTTCCAGTGGAACCATCCTCCTTTGCCGTTCGATGCATTCAACACTATCATGTGGCTCAGACGCCATACCGTCCGATACGCCATGATGCAATAGAATTAACTGTACGCGTAAATGATTCAACATATCATAAATTGTGGCTGTCTTCAGTAATCCATCGTTTAGAGTGTATGAATGAATTAAAGATATTATAATAAAGGGTATATGGACTATTTAAAGTTAATACTTTGAAAAGAAAGTTGCAAAGAGGCTTGATTTTATCCTAATTCATTTTCTTTTTTAAAATATGTTTGTTGAGACATTTGTTTTATTATTTTTTGAAATTTTCAATTATCCCATACTGTTTTTTTCAAGTTTAGAGACATTACAAAAGTCAAAATCTTCAAAAGCAAATATAGATGAATCAATCCTGATGTGTTAAAGATTAATTGGAATTATTTTATAATATTACTTACTCTCTCAATCTCATACGAGAATAGAAGAGGATACATAATACTAATACTAAAATTGTGTATTCATAATAATAACTTTCGGATTACATTAGGTTATATTTATAACTTTTATTTCTTAATTAACTCTTATATTCTAATAACTAATTTATTATTTCTCTTTGATTAATAACCACCTATAACAACTTTTCCGCCCATGAAAAATGATCTTGTCCGCAAGGTCTACTAAGTTTATTGCCAATCAAAGCTAAGATACTTGTTTTCCATGTCATGTAACTCATGCCATGTAGCGTCTTCAGGGCTAGTATGCTCTCATTAGATCAAAACTTCAGTGACAGTCTTATTATGTCTTTTATTTATTCTTTGTGCAAGAATAGCTAGAGGTTGCATAGAAATTTCTCCATCATATGTGAATAATGGTAGTTGTTGGTGTACTGGATGTTCACCATGATGCTTCTTAAGTAATGAAATGTGTAAAACATCATGTATTTTGGTACCAACAAGTAATTCCAGTCGATATGCCACTTTACCAATCATTTCCAATATCTTGAATGGGCCATAATATTTTGCGGCTAACTTGTGAAATACTGAATTTGCTAAAAAATGTTGTTTGTATGGTTGAATCTTTAAATAAACAAGGTCTCGTTCAGTAAATTCTTTGTCTACTCTTTTTAAACCTGCATACCATTTCATTCATTCTTGTGCTTTGGTGAGGTTGGAATGAAGTAACCCTAATATTTGTTCTCTCGTTTTTAAAGTGTAGTCTACTGCTTCCACTAGAGAGTCCTCCAACTGAATTAGGCATGGAATGAAGGGCTTGTAACCATATAAAGCTTTGAAAGGGGTCAGTTGGATTGTTGCATGAAACTTTGTATTGTACCATAATTTAGCTAATGATAAGTATGTTGACCATTTCTTTGGAGTCTCACCCGTGATGCATCACAAATATCCTTCTAGTGCCTTATTTAGAGTCTCCAATTGGCCATCCGTCTGTGGATGAATGCAGTAGATCAAAGCAACTTGACACCATGAGCTTTTAATAATTTTGTCCAGAAGTTGCTTAAGAAAATAGGGTCCTTATCAGAAATTATTTCTCTTGGCCAACCATGTAATTTAACAACTGTATCCATGAATAGTTATGCAATCTTTGCAGCCCTAAATGAATGCTTTAATGGAATAAAATGTGCATATTTTGTGTATGTGTCAACCACTACTAGTATGATGGACATATTATTAAATTTTGGAAGACCGACAATAAAATCCATAGATACAGAGTACCATGCTTTGTCAAGTATTGGTAAAGGTTGCAACAATCTTGATGGAAGTTGGGGAAAACTCTTAAATTTCTGACATACTTGACATTCCCTTACTCAAGTCTTGACGTCCTTTTGCAAACCCTTCCAATAAAACTGTTCTTTTATTCTTCTATATGTTTGGCCACTACCTGAGTGTCCTCCAATAGGAGAATCATGAAAATAACTAACAATTCGACTTCGTATATTCTGATCCATTCCCACTATCAGTTTACCTTTTCGTTTCAGGAAGCCTTTATCATAACAAAATTGCTTATACTGTTGTTGTATAAATCGAATTTTGTCTATAATCTTTTTCAATTTTTGATCACCTTCCCAAGTAGTTTTTACGTCGTTTACTAAATCACTTACTAACTGAGAAACAACTGTTAATTGTCCTGTAGCTTTTTTCCTCGACAACACATCCGCCACAACATTGTCTCTACCTTTCTTGTACTCAATGCTAAAATTAAGGTCCATAAGTTTCTCTAAACCCCAATTTTGCATTAATGTTCTAGGAGGTTGTTCTAATAAATGCTTTAAGGCTTTTTGATCTTTTTTGATAATGAATGGTTTCCTAGGAAGTAATGAAGCCACTTTTTTATAGCAAAAAGGATGACATAAAACTCTTTTTCATATGCGGATAATAGTTGAAACTTCTTCCCCATAGCCTTACTAATATATGCTATTGGACAGTCCTGTTGAAGAAGAATTGCCCTAATTCCATATGTTAAAGCATCTGTTTCTATTGTAAAAGGTTGGTGGAAATCTGGGAGAGCCAAAACAAGTGTAGAAACTAAAGATTGTTTAATGGCCAATAATGCTTCCTCAACTTCTTGTGTCCAGTCGAAGTTAGTATCCTTCTTCAATAATAAAGTTAATGGATATGTTATTCTTCCATAAATTTTTATAAACCTCCTGTAATAACCTGACAATCCTAAGAAACCTCGCAATTCTTTCACTGATTTTGGTGTTGGTCATTCTTGTACAACTACTATTTTATCATTATCAGGGGCAACTCCATCAACTGTGATAATGTGGTCTAAATACTCAACCCTCTTCTTTCCAAAGCTGCATTTCTTGTAATTTAATGCTAGTGAATTTGTTTCCAATATCTTCAAGGCCTTCTTTAAACACAAGAGGTGTTCATCCCAATTTTTTGTATAAACCAAAATGTCATAAAAAAGATAAGTATAAACTTCCGCAAATGTTGACGAAAAATATCATTCATCAAGTTCTGAAATGTTGCAGGGGCATTGCTTAGGCCAAATGGAAGAACCACCCATTCATAATGTCCACTATGAGTTCTAAATGTTGTCTTGTAGATGTCAGATTCTGTCATTTTTCGTGAAATATGTGGCTCCCTTTAACTTATCCAAAAGATCTTCAATAAGTGGAATAGGAAATTTGTTTTTCATAGTCATGTGACATCCTTCTTTTTGACAAGAATGAGAGGTGAAGTATATGAGTTGTTACTTTCTCGTATAAAGCTAATAGATAACATGTGTTTAATTTGTCGTTCAATTTCTTCTTTATGAGTATGAGGATACCTATAAGGTTTTAGGCAAATAGGATTATCATTAATGAAGTTGATTTTGTGATCATACCTTCTTTTTGGAGGTAATTGAGTGGGCTCCACAAAGAGTTCGGTATATTTCTGCAAAAGTTCATCTAACTCCAGAGTCTGACTTGAATTCAATTCAATTTCATCGTTTGCAACTGATATATCAAAACTAATTGGGCCATGAATTGGAAGCAACATTGCTTGCAAACTAATTGCTTTAACTTTCCCAGCTCTGTCCACGAATAAGTTGTCTTGTTTTTCTCCTATCAACGTTACAGTGTTGCCTTTATGAACAAATCTCATTGTCAAGTTAGCGTAATTCCAAGATATCTCACCTAAGGTTTTAAACCATTACATTCCTAAGATAGCACCAAAAGTTGAACTAGGGAGTACTAAAAAATCAACAAGAAAAGAGTGGTCACCAAATTTCCATTCTAACTTCTCCCATTTTCGGGTTATCATAATTGGTTTATCACTGACAACCATTACAGGAAAATCTTCTATATGTTGTATTTTCAGCCTAAGCAACTTAATCCATTTTGAACTTATGAAATTGTGGGTACTGCCTGTGTCCATAAGAAAAGGCACATATTTTCCTTTTATAATCCCTTGTAATTGTAAAGTGTTACCTCCAGCTATACCCCTCAATGCATGCAAAGAAATTTGTATCAGATCATCATTTAATAATTCTAAACTTTTTTCTAGTAGAGACTCATTTGCATCATTGTCACTATCTTCAATTTCCTCTCCATCTAAATTTTCTTGTGCACAAAAAATGGCATTTAGCTTTCCCCAAACTTTACATTTTAATCTATGATTCTTCTCCCATTTATCACCGCAAAATCTACATAATCCTTTTGAAATACGCTCACTGATTTCTTTCCTAGAAGGTACTGAATTGGTATTAGTCTGTGAAACAGTAATTGAAGTGTTGACAAACGAATTTTGTGGTTGAGTTTGTAAGCTAGTAATTGAGTGGTTTCTGAAGTTGGAGGATGAATGTGGTGCAGAACGTGTGAATCTAGTTGGATAATCAAAAGTATTTGATTTACCTATTAATATCTTCTTCTCTAATTCCTTAATGACATCATCTTGTAATCTTGCTAATCGAACAACTTCTTGTACTAATTTAGGGTTGTGAATTCGCACAAATTTCTCCAACTGAACTTCCAATCTTGTAAGAAAGAAGCTAATGGTCATGTCATTGGATAATGCAACTTGAGCAAGCAGGTTATCAAAATTTTCTAAGTATTCATGTAACGATCCTAATTATTTCAAACGAGATAATTTCGCAATTGGGTCATCATAAGTACCATCATCGAAACGGTTACCTACATCTTGAAGAATAGTTTTCCAAGATTTGTTGTCGAATTCTTGATTTTTTTATATAATGTCTCTGCCACGCAAATGCTTTGTCATCCATCGATAGTAAAAGTAATTTTACCTCGTTGATTAATGGATGTGCATTCTAATTCAAAGAATTGTTCAGCTTTCGCTCTCCATTCCCTGAAGTTGATGTCGTTGAATGAAGGAAATACAATCTGAGTTCGTTCAAGAATCTTGCTCGAGTTAAAATCTGACTCGCCTTCTTCTTCATGTTTTGTATTGTATTTGAATTGTTCGTCGTTGATGTTTAATTTGGCCAAGACCTTTGCCATCATCATCTTTAACAAGTCATTATCGACTTTGTGACTTGTCTGCGATTCCTCGAATGCTTTCTTGTTATCACAGTGATTCCTCGAATTTTCTTCTTATGAGGATGTC